GGGGCTTGAGTGAAGAAGAAGAAGAAGAGCCCCAGGCAGGGAACTGGATGCACAGGGCCACACTTTGAGCTCAGGAACTGAAGGAGAGGACAAGGAGGGGCCAGATGGTGCCACAGCTTCACAGCAGCTGCCTGGTCTCTCTGCACTGAGCTCCCTTTCCCCTTTGACTCCAGAGTTTTACATGTAGCTGAAAAGAAAGGTAGACAAGCTTGAGGCCCCCTCCCTCCACCTGCTGGAGTTTGTGCCTGCTTGGAAGACATCTGGAAGAGGAGGGTTAGGAGGAGGAGGAGGAGGAGGAGGCGCCAAGAGCCAGTCTTGGGAACATCTTCACGGAGGCAGCTGTGCCTGAGTGATCTCTGCTGTATGCTAATTTCCTGAACAAAACTGCTGGCTTTACTTCGAGTCACTGAGTCTCCCTTCTGACCTGTGGATGAACCCACTTTCCTGCCAGCCCCTGACATCAACTCAACATTGACCCTTCATCAGTTACCAGTTACCATTTTCCCCATCAGTCAGAGATTAAGGGTTGAGACCAGCAGGGGAACCTGTTGGACAGCTTCTGCAGCACCCAGAAAAGCACTCTTGCTTCCTCTAGCTCCTTCCTCCAACTGTTTTGCATCCAAGGCTATTTCCAGTAACTTGGTGTCTTCCTTCCTTCCTTCCTGATGGAAAGGTAATTGTTGTAATTAAGAGTCATTCTATCTGTTATACAAAACAGGAGGAAGTAGACCCAGGCTGAGGAACATTTTCCAGACACATTCCTTTGTGAGCAAACTTCTGGGGGCTGCATTCCAGTGGTGGGTAGGATCAGATGCAGTGGTGGTTGATGGCTATTCAGACTGATAGGACAGAAGACAGGGAGGCCATCGGTAGATGGAGCCAATGAGAGGCAAAGCCAAGTAATTCTATTTTTTCTCTCCTTCTCCTCCTTCTCCCTGCAGAGTTCTACAAGTAGCAACACTGAGCAAATCTAAGAGAAATGTGCTGCAGAGAGTGCTACTCCCTGGGCTGGTTGTAGGTGGGAAGGGAGGCAGGTGGGGGCTTGCTGAGGGCAGATTGAGGTTGGTAAGGGATTGGTGCATTCCTCCTAATGGACTAGTCTCCATTGGTCAGATGTAAAAGTGGGCAGAACGATAGATGTGAGAGCATCAGTGTACAACCTCCCAATACAGGGTTGACTTCAGGTGTTTTCTAAAAGTTGTATAATTCTTTATCTCCTTGGCATTTGAAGGGAGGGTGTTCCACAGGGAGGGCACCACTACCTAGAAGGGCCCCCTCCTGGTTCCCTCTTAGCAAACACGTTCTTTCTTACTACTGTGAGGTACAACTCATCTCTTGCCAGAAGTCTGTCCTCAACAAAGTTAAGACCATGGTCCAAGAGGCCAAAGCTTTCCTGATGGCAGCACTTGCCCAGCCAATGATTTAATTTCAGTATTTCCCCCTCTCTTCCTGGACCACAATCTTCAACAGGAAGGAGTGATAAAAACCCACCCGTGCCCCAAGGCCCTTCAGCTTCCTGCTCTGTCTCATTTGCTATACACTGAAAGCTCTATCTGGCAGTATCATTTGTACCTACATGAATCAGCAGGAAGGGGTGGTGGTCAGTGGACTTTATAAAACTTGAGAACTTCTCTGTCTCAGTCCCTCTCAGTCACCTACCACAATCACACATCTCTTGTGCAGAAAAGGCAGGCGACTGAGTTGGATGGGACTGAACAATGCAGCATAAGCTTTATAGGAACAGTATTTTCATTCTGACATCACAGATCCTTTGATGTAGTAGGAATGGGGAATCTGTGGCCCTTTGGATATTGCTGGGCTACAAATCCCATCATCCTCTGACCAATGGCTGCCTTGGCTGGGTTGGAGACCAGCAACAACTTGGCAACCACAGGTTCCCTGTCATTGCTTTAATGACTTTAAATCCACCATTGGATGGAAGAATGTTTTTAACTTTAATTACTTTTAGGGTATGTTTTTTTAAAAATAAAAGTGCTTTTAGGTTTTTGTCATTTTTAAAAAGAATATTTTAACTGTTTTAGAATACTGTTGCTTTGTTTTTATTTTAAAATGGTGCATTTGTTGCCCTGGGCTCCTTGGGGAGGATGGGCAGGGTATAAGTTCAATAAATAAATATATTTAAGCTCAAAAAATAATATAACTCAACAGATGTGTCTTGAAATGGTTGCGTCTAAATGAATGTTTTGTTGTTTTTCTTTAAAAAAATACACTTTAATTAGTTTATTAAGGCACTTCATTAAACCAATTAAATATTTATATTGTAAGTGGTGTACAAAAAGCAGTGAAGTAATAACTGTCAATTATAAAGGGGGAAAGATAAAATCAGCAGACTTTGAAAACAGGTATACATAACCAAATGCCATTTGCTGGGAATTACAAGTAGGGAGAGTTTCAGTGCTCAGGTTCTGCTTGCAGGATTCCCAGAAGCAGCTGTTTGGTCTTGATTAGATGGACTTTGGGCCTGATCCAGCGAGGCTCGTCCTATGCTCTTAACTAAATTCTATGTCTGGACAGGCTTGCTGAAGTAAAAAAATATGCTTTTAGCAGGTGACTAAAACAGGGCAATATTTTTTTAAGACATGTGCTCTGCTTCTTTTTCAAGTGGACACCCAAAACAAAAAAGAAATTAAGATACATGTGGAATAATCTGTTTGCTAGTAGCATCCATTAAAAAAACAAAAAACCTGCCAGTGAGCCATAGAATGTGGGTCAAATTAGATGTGATATTGGTCTTTGAAGCTAGTTGCTTTTTTCAATTCCATGCAGTTGTTAATTAAAAGAACAGGAGCCCCTCCATCATCCTTTGCATCACTATTCAAGAATGTGCTGCATGCATTTCGGGGCAGGTGTGGCCTGTCATGCAAGAAAAAGATAAGCTACAGAACCATTAGAAAACAAAAAAACAGGAGCCTTTTTCCTCCCTGTGCCTCTGGCCGCCACATTTCTCTGTGACCCAGACTCACCCAGGTAGTACAGGAAGCTGCGCAACTTGAAGTATGTCCTCAAGGAGCCTGTGCGAAAAGGACAGGTTTGGATTGAGTCACTTCTGTGCCCAGAAGCTGACGTGACGAGGAAAAAGAAAGGCACTGTTGTTTGAGATGTTAAGTAAGAAAGCCCAGCCAGAACTAACCTCCCCCACCCCCATGATGAGTGTGTTCCAGTGGAAAGCAAAGCCAAGCAATTGTCAGTCCGGAGGCGGAAGGAATGAATTGGAAATGTCTGAAAAATAATACAGCTGAAACCAAGTAATGCAATTATTCGAAATTTTGCGCTGCAAACAGGACTAATGAGTATGGCTGCTTGTCCTTGAGCTTCACAGTTTATTCTAGTTTTAATTTCTCTTGAATAGTTTTAAAGTCAGTTGTCTCGGCAGTTAATGTTACTTGCATACAGGCAAGAAGCATATCTGTTTTATCTGCTTTACTTCAACGTGGGCTTAAAAACCATATATTTTAATTGGAGAATGGGAGCCGGGAAAGCAGCTGTTTTGGCTCAACATTTGTAACTAATAAGAAACTGGTAAGAAATTCTTAGAAAGTCATCTTTGCCAACAGACACTCTGCAGTTTTAACATGGCTGTTACATGAGCACAGGCCTGTATCGCTTCAGTCAAAACATCCAGAACTCCATTGCCAAATTTTGTCCAGAAATCTATGCTGGACTATTGTCACTCAACAAGGAAGACAGAGGTAACGGCAAAATGATTGTGGGAAGATGAAATTAATATGTCCTACATGGACAGCCCTGGTCCTTTATTTTACATGGACAGCCCTGGTCCTTTACATTGTGAGCATTCCAGTAATGGGGCTGGAGAAGCCTTATCCCAAGTACTGTATTGGCCCGAATATAAGCCGCACTCCCCCCCCCCAATTTCACCATGAAAAGTTAACCTGTGGCTTAAATTCGTGACCTTACAAAAATTGGCTTTTACGATACTGCTCCCATCCTGTCCCGTCCGGAGCTCCCCCAGCCTTCCCCAAAGCGGGGTAGGAAAGAAAGTGGGGAGGGGGAAGACCGGCGGCATCGTGGCACAGCTCCCCCTCAGACCTCAGGTTAAGAACTTTGCTTCAAGATGAGAACAGAAATCGTGCTCCAGCAGCGCGGCAGCAGCGGGAGGTCCCATTAGCTAAAGTGGTGCTTCAGGTTAAGAACAGACTTCCAGAACAAATTAATGGCACATGACCCTCCGAACGTGGTCAGGATAAGGAACGTTTCCTACCACTCCTTGAAGGGCTATTAGAGGACAGTGATATACCAAGGATGTTGGTGTTGTTTAGTCAATTAATCGTGTCCAGCTCTTTGTGACCCGATGGACCAGAGCACGCCAGGCACTCCTGTCTTCCACTGCCATCTCGTCCTCTGTCGTCCCCTTCTCCTTGTGCCCTCAATCTTACCCAAGATTTTTTTTCCCCCAGAGAGTCCTTTTTTTCTCATGAGGTGGCCAAAGTATTTGGGCCTCAGCTTCAGGATCTGTCCTTCCAGTGTGGATTTCATTCAGGTTTGACCTTTTTGCAGTCCATGGCACTCTCAAGACCTACCAAGGATGGGGAACTGCAAACATGGACTGTCTTGTGCAAGTAGGAACAGTTGGGGCATATGCTTCCCTGTTGGATTTCCACCTTTCACATCACTCAACATTTGTGATCTTCCAGATGTTGCTGGACTCCAACTCCCATCCGCCTGGGCCAGCATGGCTAACAGGAAGGGAGGATGGGATCTGTAGTCCATTAACAGCAGGATGGCCACAGCTCTCCACCCTTGCTTTAATGAAGAGCACTCCCAGAGGGTAACATTCAGATCAGGCTTAGAAACCCGCCCGGTAAACTTGAGAAATAAACTTGCCTGCAAGTGAAACCTGTCTCTTTTGAACATGCCGTTGCATAACTTGTGCAACCTGACATCTCAGCCAGCTGGCCCTCTTTCAATCAAATTAAAAGTGCTTGCTTTGATGGATGGCTTCTGGTTTGGAGCTGAAAATACTGAAGACATGGCTAGGGAAGGAAGACTGATCTTGCACCGTGACCTAGCTGAGTGGGACAGAGTTGGGGGACCCCTCCTGCTGCCCAGAACTGTATTCCTTAGAAGGCAGTCTGGGGAGGGATTTATACCAGTGGTGGGTGGAGCCAGAGGCAAAGAAGTGGGAGGAGCAAGGAGTGTGAACTACATTCCAGCTGTGCAAATGTCATTCAATCTCCACATCCCTGTATACACACATCTCCACCTTTCCTCCAGACAAACAAGAGGCATTTCATAGTTCAAGTTACATGTCATTCTTGCAAAATCACTTGAGGAGGGTGCAAGTTAAGATCAGCGAGGGCTGCAACTTGAGGATAAGGAGTACAGCCTTTGGAAAGCCAGGGGCCACATAGATACATTTGGTGGGCCGCATTCAGCCACCGGGCCTGAGGTGCCCTATGTCCAAATGCTGCTCCCATCATTGTAAACCCCAGTTGGTCAGCCAAACATTCCCCCCCCCTCTTGTGGGGTTTTATTTGCCAGGCATTTGCAATTATTTCATCGCATCTGTTCCTCTTAACAACATTGTATTATTCTCGTCTCTTAGTGTTACTCCTGTTTGAAGAATATGATGTAGTTTTTATTACATTGTGTTGAATGAAGAGTGGATTATTCAAGGAAGGAAGGAAGGAAGGAAGGAAGGAAGGAAGGAAGGAAGGAAGGAAGGAAGGAAGGAAAAGAATTCAGGGGACAACTGCCATGTGTTATCTTTGCCCTCTAGTGGCAGGAACATAGAATCACAGAATTGTAGAATAGATTACCATTGATGGAATGGATTACCATTCTTGATATTGTCACAAAAGTCCCCCCCCCCATCTGCCAAGCGGTGGCAAGAACCCATGGGGTTCCAGGCACTGACTCACTGTCTGTGTTCCTTTGGAGAATTGAGACAAGACAGAGATTGTTGCAATTTTAATAAATATTCATAAGTCACCTATTTACACCTTAAATCTGCATGGAGGGAGTTCACATCTTACAGAAGAGTCCTTTCAAGAGGAAGACCAAGGCATCTCTCTTCCCCTGCCTTTAGCCAGCCTGCCGAAGATGGATCCCAGTCCTTCTTCCTTCTTCTTATTCCCAGCAGCATTTGCTCAAAACTCTCTTTTCCTGTCACTTCACACCCGGTTCCCCTGGCAACTTTCCAAACCCCCAGTCTCTGTTCACACCTCAGGGCAGGGGGGAAGGATGGTTCTCTTGTGATGACAATGACCCTCTAGAGACCCCTATTGTTCCTTAATGGCCTTAGTTTGGCCAGGTCATTTTGCATAGGCTAGTCCAGGAATTCCTCTCTTCATATCTCAAATCTCAAATAATTAACATCCTAGCATTTATTAATTTCTAGAGTTTAGGGGTCCCCCTAAATCTATAACAATATTATTATATTGAAGATGTAGTTTATGGGTTGTCTCCAATGCCAGTCCTATGGAGAGTAGTCCCATTGAAGTTAATGCACAGGGCTAACTTGGGTCCATTGATTTCAGTGGATCTGTTCCGAGTAGAAGTTAGTTGGGTATAGCTCTTAGTATCTTGCCATCACAGCCCAAATCTGTGGGGTCTTGGGAAGCAAACAAATAGCTTGGTTTTGGGAAGAGAATCAGACCCCAAGGAAGTGGTTATCCAAATAAAATTTTATTTTATAGATATGAGCCATACATGCAATTGGTTGGAACAGGATACTGTCTTGGAGCCCTAACTCCCCGCCTTCCTTCCTTCCTTCTTTCCTTCTCCACAACACAGCCCTTCCAAACCCAAATACAGGTTACAGCAGTTCAGGTGCTCCCAAACCCCCTTCCTTACCCCCATATCCCGAGGATGGTGGCTCCTAGGACTGCCAGTAAAGGGCAAAGTTGAAGACTGAGCCCTTGGAAACCTGACCCATTATGATCATAAGACAGGTATGGGTTGGTGGTGCTCCTCACACCAAAATTGGTTGGGTTAATTATATTGCTATTGCAATTGCTGCCGGAGCAACACGACCCCCACTTGTTGGTGATATTTATATTACTGGTGAAATCAGTTCTCATATCAATGCAGGCTGGGCGCTGGCAGGTTCTGAAGATCATTGATGTTTGGAGGCCTCCTGTTGATGTTTGGAAGGAAGGGAAGAAAAGAAAGGCACAAAACGTTAGGCATGAGGGGTGTTGCCCCTCTTTCCCCAGCATGCAGTGGAACACCACAGGGAATCGTGAAGAACACGGAGCCTGAGGCGTAACCCACATCCATGAGTTCTTAGGGGGCAGGGCCCCCTACACCTCTGAAAAAATGGCCTGTTTTGCCTTAGATTGTCAATTCTGAGGGGGGAATCTGTGGGAGGAAGTTAAATTCTTCCGGGGAGCAAACTCTGAACTGACAATAACGTTTGGTTTTAAAAACTATTTTAATTATTTGTTTTAACTCTGTAATGTATTTTATAATCTTTTATGTATTTTATGCTCTGTAATGGCTTTGGCCACACACTCATAAATCATATTTGCATAGGTTGGGAGGTTGAACAATTAATTGCAAAGAATGCTTCCCAACAAGTCCTGTTCAGCAGGGGGCAAAATGTTTTGTAGGCCAGGAGCTGTGGAAGAAATTTCCTAGGGTGAACTCACCTACTGAAATGACCTTACTGCCATTGTAACATTGGTTGTAGCCCCTGCCGCATCTCATAGTCTGCTGGAGTATTCCGTAGTAGGTATGATCAAAGCCTGAGTAACACTGGTTGGAGCTGCTTATTTCAGCTGCTGCAATAAGAAAGCAAAATGAAGAGCAAGGGGCCTGTTGAGCATCACTCACCCCATTAAGCTGCTAATGTGGGGCTGGGTTGAAAAGGGTGGCTCGCCTTTATAGGAGGCTCCCCCATTATTCTGTCTCTTCAATAATGATTGGGGGGGGGGAATCTTTCGGTTTGCTTTGCATATCAAAGTGAACCTACTTAATTTTCCCTTTACAAAGCAGTCAGTACCTTAATTGTACTCAGGGTAAACCCACTGAAATGAATACATATGAGTATAGGTCGATACATGAAGAAAAAAAGCTATCCTTTGAAACCCAAACGTTCTTGAATTTTGCATTGCAAAGAATGTGTGCGAATGTTTGCACATACTAGGAGCTGCTGCCCTTGCCTTTCTCCACTTGCCAAACCTGCCAGACTCTTTGTCAAATCCCACACCTGAGCACGTCCCCTCCCTTTACCCCAGCTCACCCCTCCCCTACAGCGCACCCCATGTTCCCACTCCGCCAAACCTTTCCCATGCTCTCGCAGCTAAATTACACCCTAAAGCACACCGTCCTGTCCATTTCTTGAGAAGCGGGGTTACCTTTTCTTTGGCATAGGAGCCCAAGAGTTGGGGAACAGGGCTGCTTGCCTTAGAAATCTCCAAAATTGAATTCTTCAAGCCTCCCTATTGACAACCAACCACCCAACAAGTGAAACTGTAAGTTCTCACTTAACGGTCAGGTGGCCTTTTAAAAAAATACCTGTGTCCTCGATAGGGGTCTTGGGAACCTTCCACTTTTTCGAATACCCGTTGCAAAGGTCACCAAGACAGTAGCTCTCATCGTACTGGACGGCAAAGTGTCGGTCACCAGAGAAACTTGATATGGGTCCATCCCAAAGGTCCTTGCTGGCGCAGCCTTTGTAACCCATTATCAAAAGGTCTTTATCTAAAACGAGGGTGGATACATATATACAAACAATAGATTGATGCAGTGGCAGGGTGTTCCAAAGATCTTACCTTGACCAGTTTTACTCTGGGGGTGAGGTGATTTGGGTTTTTGAGTGCCCCTTGAAACTGCTGACACAGTTCTTCCTGCTTTCTGCTTATGCCTGTTTTTTGGGGGGGGAGGGGGCACACTTCCTGGCTGTTGTTATACTTCAGAAGCCTAATAATGGGGTTGGAAATCAGCCCACAGAAAATCAGCTAAGAATTTTCTTTATTAAAAAAGAAAGAAATGGAGTACAGGGATTTGTACAACAATCTGCACATAGAAAATAAAATGAATCAAAACATGTTTTGAGCACCTCAATTCTGAAAGCATGCAAAGCATCATTTCAGGCCCCAGTTAATCCCGCTGAGAATTTGAGGGGTTGTAAGTAATTTCATGAGGGAGGCGGGTGGCGCTGTGGGTTAAACCACAAAGCCTAGGACTTTCCAATCAGAAGGTGGGCGGGTGAGCTCCCGTTGCTCGGTCCCTGCTCCTGCCAACCTAGCAGTTCGAAAGCACGCTAAAAGTGCAAGTAGATAAATAGGTACTGCTCCGGCGGGAAGGTAAAAGGCATTTCTGTGCACTGCTCTGGTTCGCCAGAAGCGGCTTAGTCATGCTGGCCACATGACTCGGAAGCTGTACGCTGGCTCCCTCGGCCAATAAAGCGAGATGAGCACCGCAACCCCAGAGTCGGTCACGACTGGACCTAATGGTCAGGGGTCCCTTTACCTTTACCTTTAAGGTAAAATCCTCTCAAAAATCTATTCCTCTTAAAAATCTAGCAGCCACACAGGATCCATCTGACAGAGCAGCACTTACCTATAGTTAATGTAAGTTGTGCAATTATGCAAACATTCTCAGCACTGGAGCAGTTTCTAATGTACTGCTCTGATGTATAGAACTTGAATGTGGGATGATCTATGTAGCTGTAGTGATAACACTCCAAGGCAGAAATTCCTGAAAAGAAGTTTGGGGAGAAAGGGTATGAGATCCGGGAGAAGCTATTAGCAATGTCTTTCTGCCTTGAAATCATCAGGGACTAGAAATAGGTTTTCCCCCTTTAAAGTGAAAGCAGAAATTCTTAGGGGGCAGAAATTTGTGCCAAGTGCCTGTTCTGAACCGCAGGCCCAAAGGAGAGGCCTGAGTGAGTGGTTTCATGTGTAGATATCAAAGGAGGATGCAAAACTATGCCAGAATGGTCAGTCCTAGAGCTTTATTAAATCATAGAGGTGGATGGGACTAGGAGGGGTGTCTAGCCCAATGCCAAATGTTGGGTTCCAACTCACACCAACACCAGTCAGATGTAAACTGACAAAACAGAACAATGACAACCAAATCATGGGCATTAACAACCCCCCCCCCAAAAGGTATTGTAGTTAACCAGAACTTAACCTAATACGTTATTTATAAAGATGGGGGTGGGGTGGAGTTTTCTACATAGGTATTCATATTTTCTTTTCCTTCTTCTTTATTGTGTCTTATCTTACTCTGTGCACTTGTAATTATGCACTTTATATCTTTTAACGGAGAATATAGAAAATAATAATGGAAAAAACCTACAGCACAATGTAGGTTTGAAAGTAAAGTTTGAACAAATAAAAAATAAAAAATGGGTGGAGGCAGACAGCTCCATGGGGACTGCTTTTACTGCCCTTGCTTAGAGGCAGGATACAGATTCTTGGCTGACAGCTGTCACTCAGCAGAAAGAGCTGAAACACCCCCTCCCCCCTTCTCCCTTTTCAGCAGGGAAGGGAGCAGAAGCCCCAGTCTTCTTCATTTCCTGCTTCTCCATGGGTAAATTTTCCCACAATTTTAAAAAACACTACACTAGGTTCCCCCTTTCTGAACTTTTTCCATACACCTTAGGATTCCTTCTTGTTTCTCTGTGCAAATCTAGTTGGTGCCCACCCAACCACCCAGGTCTGCAACTAGAGGACATCCCAATAGCAATAACTGGTACCTGAAATAAGAAAGGTCATCGCCAGCAGTCCTTGCAGCACAACTGTTGCAGCTCTCCATCTCAATGCGACACCCTCCATACTCTGAAGCCGAGAAGCCCTCTGAGCCAAAGAACCAGTTTCCTGATGAGTCGTGGAAGAAAAGCAGTCAAAGATCTGAGAGAGTTGGGCCGTTTGGTTATATAGATATCAGGCACAAATGTGCTAGCTAGAGCTTCGCAGGAGGAAATTCCCGAGGAGACAGGAGCAGTTCTGGCAGGATTATACAAAGTAGAAGGCAGCTGTGCAACAGGGGTGGACCCATATTTTCATATTTATATGGAGCCCCATGTGAGTGATGGCCAACCAGCTGCACTGGTGCAAAGGGAGGCTGGTGTCTCTTGCTCTCCTCGCCCACTTCTCCCATCCTATCTTCCTCTCCTTTTTCTTCATCTAATGTTCTCTCCATGGCAAATAGAAATTAAAAATCACAAAAACAGTCAGGCGGATGTCTAGGGGTTCCCACCCCCCTTTCCCTCCCTCCTTCCCCCTTTCTATCTACCGGTATTTTTCTCAAGCAGAAAGACAAATTCAAGGTTTCAGAAATCCTCCCCTCTCTTTCCTCAATCTCTTTCTCCAAAACAAAAGAAAAGCAGTGGACTTTTAAGACATGGGACGATGCAGAAGGAGGATATCAGTATGAAATGGCATTGCCAACAGGAACTGTACGTTGTAATCGTTGGACTTGACAATCTTTGGACTTTACGACAATAAAAACATATAATAGTAATATGATATCTTATTGCCATCAGGAACAGTGCTTTGCAATTTTTTGGTATGACGATTAGATTACAGTTTCATTATATATAATGTTATGTTACTTTACAGCCAGTTACGTGTGTGTTGTGGTATTCTGAACTTGATTTACGCAATGAGGCAATTGTGGTGTGTGTTGACCTAGTCATTTGCCATGGCTGTTTCTATTGATATAATTTAGGTAATCAATGAGGTCACATATTAATCGTTTGATTATTACAATATAAAAAGTGGAGACAGCAATGACTCTTTAGCAGGTGGAATCTATTTATGATTAATTTACACTGGATAAATCTTTAAAAAGCTAAGAAATACTAATGAAGATGTAAAGAACTTAATGTACTAGATCTCTGCTAGTTGGATATCATTGCGATTATGTTCCTTTAAGAATGGTAGATTCTAATTGCCTGTACCTATTGATTATTACTTAGAATATCTTTGATTGACTTTGGTGTTCCTGGGGTCCTGCATTACTTATTTCTTCTATAGATATCCTGTGTTGTCTGAATTACTGCAAAGAAGGTATCCTTTCTTGTAACAACAGGTGTTTAGGTAATTAATGATGTTACAATCTCCTAAGAATAATTTATACTTTTATGTTCAACATTAGGAAGTGGAGACCGCAATGACCATTTGCCATATGGGATCCACTGATGATTAAGCCTCACTTAATAAGTTTGATAAAGTTGTAATAGTGTACAGTGGTGCCACGCAAGACGAAATTAATCCGTTCCGTGAGTCTCTTCGTCATGCGGTTTTTTCGTCTTGCGAAGCACGGCTATTAGCGGCTTAGCGGCTTTAAGAAAAAGGAAACAAACTCGCAATAAACTCGCAAGCAAGCCCATAGGGAAAGCCCATAGGGAAATTCGTCTTGCGAAGCACCTCAAAAAACGAAAAACCCTTTCGTCTAGCGAGTTTTTCGTCTTGCGAGGCATTCGTCTTGCGGGGCACCACTGTATATAAATGAAGATGTGGAATACTTATTTTAAACGTTGTGAGTTTTATTCTAGAGTCTTTCTGTGTTTACAATGGTTCTCTATATATGATATGAATTTACTCCCTTCTCTCTGGAATGCTTGGTCACTCTTGTTCCGGATTCTCCCGGTCAGCTTTGACGGTTCCGCATATTCCGTCAGTATCGTCTGCCATTCTTCGATTGTTGGTAACTCCTGCTGTTTCCATTTTTGGACTAATAAAATTCTAGCAGCTGTTGTGCATACATAAACAATTTTTGATCAACTCTTGATATTTCCCCACCTAGCATTCCTAACAGAAAAGCTTCAGGTTTCTTTGGGAAGGTGTACCTGAACATCTTTCTTAATTCATTGTAAATACTGTTCCAAAATAGTTTAACTTTATCAGACGTCCCCCACATATGGTAAAAATCCCCTTCTTTAACCTTACATTTCCAAAAAGTCTTATTACTCATTCTATACATTTTTGCTAGTTTAAAGGTAAAGGGACCCCTGACCATTAGGTCCAGTCATGACTGACTCTGGGGTTGCGGCGCTCATCTCGCTTTACTGGCCAAGGGAGGCGGTGTACAGCTTCCATGTCATGTGGCCAGCATGACTAAGCTGCTTCTGGTGAACCGGAGCAGCGCACAGAAACGCCGTTTCCCTTCCCGCCGGAGCGATATCTATTTATCTACTTGCACTTTGACGTGCTTTCGAACTGCTAGGTTGGCAGGAGCTGGGACCGAGCAACAGGAGCACTCACCCTGTCGCGGGGATTCGAACCGCCAACCTTCTGATCGGCAAGTCGTAGTTGGTAGCGATCAACTACCATCTATATATCATTTTCATTACGGTATATTTTCCTTCAGTGTCATGCCTGCAGTAAATTTCATACCCGTATTCCATAACCTTGACCATTTATCAAAGTCAATGTTATGGACAATGTCTATTGGCCATTATATCATTACTTCCTTAGTTTCCTCATCTTTTGTATGCCATTCTAGAAGTAACTTGTACATTTTAGATAGGATTTTTGTTTTACTTTCCAACAATTCGCATCTAAATGTCTCAAAGCCATTCTTCCTTTTGTCTTTTTCAAATACATCATTAATTTGTTGGTACTGTAACCAACCTGTTAGCTTATCACATGTTTCATCATATGGTTTCATTTTTAACACTTTATCCCTTTCTGTTAGCAACTCCTTATATGTGGGCCAATTACCTTTCATATTTAACCGCTTGACTGAAATTGCTTCTGCTGGTGAAACCCACCATTGGTGTTTTATGTTCTACTCTCATCCATACTTCATACAATGGTTTTCTTATTGCATGATTCAGGAAGCCTCTGTGAACTCTGACTTTATCATACCACAAATATGCATGCACCCAAATCTGTTTCCATAACCTTCTAAATCTAATATGTCTGTATTTTGTAGTTTCATCCAATCCCTTAACCAAGTCAAACAAGATGCTTCATAATATATATTTAAATCTGGCAGTGAGAATCCGCCTCTTTCTTTTTTATCTGTAAGAAGTTTATACTTTACTCTAGGTTTCTTCCCCTGCCAGATAAATCTTGACAATGCTTTTTGCCAAACTTTAAACTGTCCTGTTCCACTGATCATTGGGATTGTCTGAAATAGAAATAACATTTTGGGTAGCACATTCATCTTTATCACAGAGATTCTTCCCCAGAATGACAATTTCAGTCTATCCCAAATTTCTAAATCTTTTACTATCTTTCCACACAGGTACATAATTGTCTTTAAATAGGTTTATATTTTTGGGAATCAACCAGATACCCAAATATTTTACCTTTTTGACCACTATGATTCCTGTTTTATCTTGTAATTCTTTAATTTGTTCCTGATTCATATTTTTAACCATCATTTTTGTTTTGGCTTTATTTAATCTAAAACCTGCTAATTGCCCAAACCCTTCAATCACTTCCAGTGCTTCCATTACACTGGCATGTGGCTCTTTTAATGTTATTTCTCTTCTAACTATATTTCTCTCATTATCTTTCAATTGGTGCCCAGGAAGAAAGTCCACTTGTCAGAGACATGGCTGGCAGAGAGGAGTCTGCAGAGGGGGAGAAAGAGGCAGAGGAAAACAGGAACTTGAGTTGTTCTCACAACAAAAGTGAGATAAGCCCTCCTCACTCTGAATTGCTGCCTGTAAGTTTTTGCAGCAGCACAGAGATGAAGGAGCAGGATGCAGGTGGTAGTAGAGGGCTGGATTCAACTCCAGAGGAGAAGGAATTGGCTGCACCTGAGTCTCCAAGAAGCAGGAGGTGGAGCAAGTGATTAGAACAGAGGAAGACCAGCAGGAAGTGGGGTCAGGCTTGGAGTATATCTGGCATTGGAAGGGGCCGGAAGCCAGTCGAGTCAACTGACTCTGACAGTGAGGACTGAGTTGTGGGAAGCTCAGATTTCTGAAAGCCAGTTGTTGAGAAATAAACCTCAACTATTCAAATTGCTAGCGTGTCGTGTCTTGTGTGAGAGAAGCTCTAAAGAAGATTGATCTTTACCTTTAAATTTCAAAGTTATGGAATTATGATCCAAAAATGTCCTTGGCAATATCTCTGTACTTATTGTTCTTGGAGCTCAGTCCTTGGGAATCCAGACATGGTCTACTCTACTAGAACTTGATTTGAATCAGAGAAAAATGTGAATTGTTTTGTTAACAGGTTTTTAAGTCTCCAAATATCAATTAAATCATGATTATCCACCAATGAAAAAAGAGCCTTTGGGAGTTTTCCCAGGTTTCCCTCCCTTTTGCTTGACGTTCTGTCCATTTCTAACAACACCACTCCATTTAAATCACCCATCAAAATTACTTTCTGGTCCATATAGTCAAACAATTTTTCCTCCAATTCTTTATAAAAGTCTGATTTCCTCTCACTTGGTGCATAGATTCCAACAATGATAAAGTTGTTGCCTTGCAGTGTGACTTGGACCCCTATCATTCCCCACTCGTTGTCTTTAAACAATTCTTTTGCATTGTGTTAATTTACAAAACCATTCCCCTTTTCTTATTTACAGCTGAAGTTACATATGCATTTCCCAATCTTTTATTTATTAGAACTCTTCTGTGTGTGTTTTTTAGCAACATGTGTTTCCTGTAAACAAATTATATACATTTTTTAAAAATCAATAAATGTTTGATTTTATTTCTTTTCACTTTCTAATTAAGTCTATTAACATTCCATGATAATGCTTTCACCGCCATTTCTATATCCAATTAAAATAATTTTATTATTATGATTGGGATTCTTCCTCTTCCTCTTTATCTTCTTCTGACTGTTCTCCAAGTCCAGGTCTGTCCTCCTCCTTCCTCCCCAATTCTTTGGCATATTTCCTCCAAAATTTGGCTGTATCCTGTGGATTCCCGATCTTGAATTTCTTATGTTTGTAATAAAAGGAGATTCCTTCCGGTTACTCCCAACAAAATCTAATTTTATTCGCATTTAATGTTCCAGTAATTTCTTTATAAGAATTTCTTTTCGCAAAAATCTGTTTGGGATCTCCTTAAATACGATTATTATCTGTTCATTGATACATAACTACTTTTCCTGGCTCATTCTCAAGATGGTATTCCTCATCTCCAATGAGTTAAACATTACCAGACAATCTCCTGGATATTTTTTTGCCTTAGCCTTGAGGGATGTGACCTTTATTCTGAATGCATTTACTATTGTATAATCAATATCTTCATCCTTTAACTCTAACCTTTTTGCAATTTCTGTAACCAGTTTTATTCTCACATCCTCCCCTTCCTGTCCCAGGATTCCTCGAAATTTCAAATTTATTTGTTTCTTCCTCATCTCGAGAAATGCAGGATTGTCTCTCAGGACCGGTGTTATGTGGTCCCGGCAGCCACTCCCAGTCACCAGTCTAGCTGCCGCATTCTGGATTAATTGCAGTTTCTGGGTCACTTTCAAAGGTAGCCCCATGTAGAGCGCATTGCAGTAGTCCAAGCAGGAGATAATTAGAGCATGCACCACTCGGGTGAGACAGTCTGCGGGCAGGTAGGGTCTCAGCCTGCGTACCAGGGGGAGCTGGTAGACAGCCACCCTGGACACAGAATTAACCTGCGCCTCCATGGACAGCTGTGAGTCCAAAATGACTCCCAGGCTGCGCACCTGGTCCTTCAGGGGCACAGTTACCCTATTCAGGACCAGGGAGACCCCACACCTGCCCGCCCCATGAATCCCAAAAACAGTACTTCTGTCTTCTCAGGATTCAACCTCAATCTGCTACCCACCATCCATCCTCCAACCGCCTCCAGACACTCACACAGGACCTTCACCACCTCCACTGGTTCTGATTTAAAAGAGAGGTAGAGCTGGGTGTCATCTGCATACTGATTAACACCCAGCTCAAACCCCAGATAATCTCTCCCAGTGGCTTCATATAGATATTAAAAAGCACGGGGGAGAGGATGGAACCCTGAGGCATCCCACAAGTGAGAGCCCAGGGGTCTGAACACTCATCCCCCACACCACTTTCTAGACATGGCCCAGGAGAAAGGAGCAGAACCACTGTATAACAGTGCTCCCAGCTCCCAGCCCCTCTAGACGGTCCAGAAGGATGTTATGGTCGATGGTGTTAAAGGCCGCTGAGAGATCCAGCAGAACTAGGAAACAGCTCTCACCTTTATCCCTAGCCCACTGGAGATCATCGACCAGCGCAACCAAGGCAGTTTCAGTCCCATGGTGAGGCCTGAATCCCGACTGGAAGGGATCCAAATGGTCTGCATCCTCCAGGCATCCTTGGAGTTGTTCAGCAACCACCCACTCAATCACCTTGCCCAAGAATGGAAGATTTGAGACTGGGCGATAGTTGGCCATGCTGGCCGGGTCTAAAGATGTTTTTTTAAGAAGCGGTTTAATGACTGTCTCTTTCAGTGGGTCTGGGAAGGCACCTTCACAGAGGGAAGCATTCACCACCCCACAGAGCCTATCACCCAGCCTCGCTTTTATCAGCCAGAATGGGCAAGGATCAAGGAGACAGGTGATCTGTTTCACTCATCCAAGCAGCCTGTCCACATCCTCGGAAGTAACAGATTGGAATTGATCCCTTGTAACAGGACAAGACAGAACTCTAGCACTCTCCCGCCCTGGCCCTGCTTCCACGGTGGAGTCTATCTCCTTCTGAATCTGAGCGACTTTATCTGCAAAAAAACTTTGCAAAAGCATTGCAGGAGATCTTGGGGTCCCTACCAGGCCCCGGTGAAGAAGGTGGTTCCAATAGATTGCAAACCACCTGAATGAGTCTCCTGCTGCTGTTTTCTGCAGATGCAATAGAGACGGTGAAGAAGGCCCTCTTCGCCGTGGCCATTGCCACATGGTAGGCTCGACGTTGAGCTCTAGCCTGTGTCTGGTCTGATTCAAAATGAGTTTTCCGCCACTGGTGCTGTAGCCGTCTCAATGATTGTTTGATTGCCCTCAGCTCCAGGGAAAACCATGGGGCTGTCCGGGCTCCATGCAATCGGAGAGGGCGCTTTGGAGCCAGACAGTCAATAGCCCCAGTTAACTCCACATTCTAGTGGGCCACCAGGGAATCAGCTGAAAAGCCATCAGCTTGGGATAAAACATCCCCTACCACTCTCTGGAAGTCAATTGGATCCATTAAGTGGCAGGGGTGGACCATCTGAATCGGTCCCACCTCCCTGCAGAGGGGAAGGGTCGTGGAGAAGTCCAGTTGCACCAGGAAGTGATCTGACCATGGCACTTCTTTTATTTCGCTTTTACTTAGTGTCAGATCACCAACATCCGTAGAGGCAAACACCAGGTCTAAGGCATGTCCGCGGCTATGAGTTGGGCCAAACTTATTCAGGGACAGCCCCATGGAGGCCATGCTTTCCACAAAGTCCCGAGCGGCCCCTTGTAAGGTCATGTCGGCATGGATGTAAAAATCCCCCAGGACAACCAGACTAGTTGTCTCCAGGAGCATATCCGCCATGACCTGAAGCAGCTCAGGCAGGGAATCCTTGGTGCAGCGGGGAGGTCGGTACACCAAAAGGAATCCTGTACTGCCCCTATTGCCCAACTTCCAGAACATGCACTCAGAAAACTGGGTCTTCCCAACGGGACGCCTGTGCAGACTAATGACTTCCTAAAAATCACTGCAACCCCCCCTCCCTGCCCACATGACCTGGGTGCTGCATGTAAGAGAAACCTGGTGGACAAGCAGCGGCAAGGACAAGCCCATCTGCTTCATCCAACCAAGTCTCTGCCACACATGCCAGGTCAAATTCTCCATCCACAATCAGGTCTTGGATGGGACTGGTTTTATTCATCATTGACCTGGCATTGCACAGCAACACTTTCAGGTCATGTGGGTTTCTCTTGCTGATTCCAGTATCCTTCCGGTCAGGACTAGACCTGGAGGCAGGGATACTCCTCAAACAATGACTAAGCCTGCCTCCTCGGTAATGACATGGTCTTAGCGTAACTCCTCCTCCCGCCCTTGATCACTGAGATCGGGTGTCCCAATACATCCCCCTCCCCCCCGTGGAACCTGCCCCAGCCATTCTATTGGCTATGGCCCTCTCCCAGGCAGCCCTAACCCTTCCCCTTAAAAAGCAAAGTACAAACTATACAGTAACTTAACAAAATAATGAAAGTAAAAACAAAGCAAGAAACAATTATGCTATATTTAAACTACTCCTCACCCCAACTAAACATTTATCCCACCCCAAGCAGAAAGAAAATAATAAAATAATATAATACTGTAAAAAACCACCATTTGAGGTGCAGCAAATTAAGAACACTTAAAACATTTAAAACCATTTTTGCCACTTGCTGCAGGGAGCTGCTCAGAGTATGTGTGAGTGTAGGCCCCGCCCCTTGGGCCCGATGGAATTGGCTTGCAGGGTGGAGTGGTCTTCCCAATACTCACCAGAGCAGCAACAGCAGCAATGTCCCAGAGGCCTCTCTCTCGCTTCTTAAGCTGTGGTGGTGGGTGTAGGCCCCGCCCCGTTTGCCCGATGGAATTGCCTGGAGGAGGGAGCGGTCTTCCCAAAGACTCACCGGTGCAGCAACAGCAGCAATGTCCTGGAGGCCTCTCTCTCGCCTCTTAAGCTGTGGTGGTGGGTATAGGCCCTGCCCCTCCGATGGAATTGGCTGGAGGAGGGAGCGGTCTTCCCAAATGCCCACAGAAGCAGCAACAGCAGCAGAAATAAACTGTCTCTTATGAAAAGGACATTGTGTAACTAGTGCAACCTGACATCTCTGCCAGATGGCCCTGTTTTATCAAATTATGGCTTCTGATTGATGGCTTCTGGTTTGGAGCAGAAGATTCTGCAGACGTCGCTGGCAAAGAAACACTGATCTTGCACCGTGACCTAGCTGAACGGGACAAAGTTGGGGGACCCCTCCTGCTGCCCAGAACTGTATTCCTTAGAAGGCAACCTGGGGAGAGATTTATATCAGTGGTGGGCGGAGCCAGAGGCAAACAAGTAGGTGGAGCCAGGAGTGTGAACTACATTCCAGTTGTGCAAAAGTTATTCAATCTCCACATCCCTGTATACACACATCTCCACCCTTCCTCCAGAAAAACAAGAGGCATTTCATACTTCAAGTGTACCTGTCATTCCTGCAAAATCACTTGAGGAGGGTGCGAGTCAAAAACCTGAGGATAAGGAGTACAGCCTTTGGAAAGTCCTGGGGGCCACACAGAGACATTTGGTGGGCCGCATTCAGCTACTGGGCCTGAGGTGCCTCATGTCTGTAGTGGAGCAATACTTGTCTTGCCTAAAATCACTGCTGAACAGAGTCTGCTTCTATCCCCCCTTGGTGAGTAAACAGTTTGTCCCTCTTGTGGGATTTTATTTGCCAGGCATTTGCAATTATTTCATCGCATCTGTTCCACTTAACAACTATATTATTCTTGTCTCTCAGTCTTACTCCTGTTTGAAGAATATGATGTAGTTTTTATTGCATTGTGTTGAGTGAAGAGTGGATTTTTCAAGGAAGGGAGGAAGGAAGGAAGGAAGGAAGGAAGGAAGGATTCAAGGGACATCTTCCATGTGTTACCTTTGCCCTCTAGTTGTAGGAACATAGAATCACAGAACTGTAGTATAGATTACCATTGTTGGAAAGGATTACCATTCTTGATATTGTCACAAAAGTTGTCCCCCTCCCCCCTATCTGTCGAGCAGTTGCAAGAGCCCATTGGGTTCCAGGCACTGACTCAGAGTCTGTGTTCCTTTGGAGAACTGAGACATGACGGAGACTGTTGTAACTTTAATAAATATGCTTAATTCACCTATTTACACCTTAAATCTGCATGGAGGGAGCCCAGATCTTACAGAAGAGTTCTTTCCAGAGGAAGTCCAAGGCATCTCTCTTCCTCAGCCTTTAGCCAGCCTGCCCAAGATGGATCCCAGTCCTTCTTCCTTCTTCTTATTCCCAGCAGCATTTGCTTAAAACTCTTTTCCTGTCACCTTACACCCGGTTCTCCTGACAACCTTCCAAACCCCCAGCCTCTGTTCACACCTCAGGGCAGGGGGGAAGGACAGTTCTCTTGGCCCTCTAGAGCCCCCTTTTCTTCCTTAATGGCCCTAGCTTGGCCAGGTCATTTTGCATAGGCTAGTCCTGGAATTCCTCTACAGCTTCTATTCTTCCATCATATCCCAAATAATCAACATCTTAGCATTTATTAATGTCTAGGGTTTAGGGGTCCACCAAAATCAATAACAATATTATAATATTGAATATGTAGTTTATGAGTTGTCTCCAATGCCAGTCCTATGGAGAGTAGTCCTATTGAAGTTAATGGGCAAGGCTATTAACTTCAGCTATACCAGAAGGAGCGTCTCCACCCCCGTTGTTCAGCCTGGACACTGAGGTCCAGCGCCGAGGGCCTTCTGGCGGTTCCCTCACTGTGAGAAGTGAGGTTACAGGTAACCAGACAGAGGGCATTCTTGGTAGTGGCGCCTGCCCTGTGGAACACCCTCGCATCATATGTCAAGAAAATAAAGTTCTATCTGACTTTTAGAAGACATCTGATGGTAGCCCTGTTTAGGGAAGTTTTTAATGTCTGAAGTTTTATTCTGTTTGTAATGTTCTGTTGAAAGCTGGGGCTGGGGAAACCCAGTCAGATGGGTGGGATAGAAATAATAAATTATTATTACTATTACTACTACTACTATTATTATTATTATTATTATTTATTTCCGTGGATCTGCTCTGAGTAGAATTTAGTTGGGTATCGCCCTTAGTATTTTGCCACCACAGCCCAAATCTGTGGGATCTTGGGAAGCAAACAAATTGCTTGGTTTTGGGAGGGAGAATCAGACCCCAAGGTGGTAGTTATCCAAATAAAATTTTATTTTATAGATATGAGCTATACATCCAATTGGTCACTGTCTTGGAGCCCTAACTCCCTCCCTCCCTCCCTCCCTTCCTTTCTGCTCCACAACACAGCCCTTCCAAACCCAAATGCAGGTTCCAGCAGTTCAGGTGCTCCCAAACCCCCTTCCTCACCCCCATATCCCGAGGATGGTGGTTCCTAGGACTGCCAGGAAAGGGCAAAGTTGAAGACTGAGCCCTTGGAAACCTGACCCATAATGATCATAAGACAGGTATGGGTTGGTGGTGCTCCTCACACCAAAATTGGTTGGGTTAATTATCTGACTATTGCAATTGCTGCCGGAGCAACACGACCCCCACTCGCTGGTGATATTTATATTACTGGTGAAATCAGTTCTCATATCAATGCAGGCTGGGCGCTGGCAGGTTCTGAAGATCATTGATGTTTGGAGGCCTCCTGTTGATGTTTGGAAGGAAGGGAAGAAAAGAAAGGCACAAAACGTTAGGCATGAGAGGTGTTGCCCCTCTTTTCCCAGCATGCAGTGGGACGCCACAGGGAATTGTGAAGAACATGGAGCCTGAGGCGTAACCCACATCCATGAGTTCTTAGGGGGCAGGGCCCCCTTCACCTCTGAAAAAATGGCCTGTTTTGCCTTAGAGCGGCAATTTTGAGGTGGAAATCTGTGGGAGTAAGTTAAATTTTACCAGGGAGTAAACTCTGAACTGACATAACATTTGGTTTTAAGAACTATTTTAATTATTTATTTTAACTCTGTAATGTATTTTATAATCTTTTATGTATTTTATCCTCTGTAATGGCTTTGGCCACACACTCATAAATCATATTTGCATAGGTTGGGAGGTTGAACAATTAATTGCAAAGAATGCTTCCCAACAAGTCCTGTTCAGCAGGGGGCAAAATGTTTTGTAGACCAGGAGCTGTGGAATAAATTTCCTAGGCTGAACTCACCAACTGAAATGACCTTACTGCCATTGTAACATTGGTTGTAGCCCCTGCCGCATCTCATAGTCTGCTGGAGTATTCCGTAGTAGGTCGAATCAAAGCCTGAGTAACACTGGTTGGAGCTGCTTCCTTCAGCTGCTGCAATAAGAAATCAAAATGAAGAGCAAGGGGCCTGTTGAGCATCAGTCACCCCATTAAGTTGCTAAAGTGGGGCTGGGTTGAAAAGGGTGGTCCCCTTTATAGGAGGCTCCCCCATTATTCTGTGTCTTCACTAATGATGGGGGGGTGGATCTTTCGGTTTGCTTTGCATATCAAAGTGAACCTACTTAATTTTCCCTTTACAAAGCAGTCAGTACCTTAATTGTACTCAGGGTAAACCCATTTAAATGAATACATATGAGTATAGGTCGATACATGAAGAAAAAAAGCTATCCTTTGAAACCCAAACGTTCTCAAATTTTGCATTGCAATTCTCTAAGATAGAATGTGTGCGAATGTTTGCACATACTAGGAGCTGCTGCCCTTGCCTTTCTCCACTTGCCAAACCTGCCAGACTCTTTGTCAAACCCCACACCTGAGCACGTCCCCTCCCTTTACCCCAGCTCACCCCTCCCCTACAGCGCACCCCATGTTCCCACTCCGCCAAACCTTTCCTATGCTCTTGCAGCTAAATTACACCCTAAAGCACACTGTCCTGTCCATTTCTTGAGAAGCGGGGTTACCTTTTCTTTGGCATAGGAGCCCAAGAGTTGGGGAACAGGGCTGCTTGCCTTAGAAATCTCCAAAATTGAATTCTTCAAGCCTCCCTATTGACAACCAACCACCCAACAAGTGAAACTGAGTTCTCACTTAACGGTCAGGTGGCCTTTTAAAAAAATACCTGTGTCCTCGATAGGGGTCTTGGGAACCTTCCACTTTTTCGAATACCCGTTGCAAAGGTCACCAAGACAGTAGCTCTCATCGTACTGGACGGCAAAGTGTTGGTCACCAGAGAAACTTGATATGGGTCCATCCCGAGGGTCCTTGCTGGCGCAGCCTTTGTAGCCCATTATCAAAAGGTCTTTATCTAAAACGAGGGTGGATACATATATAGAAACAATAGATTGATGCAGTGGCAGGGTGTTCCAAAGATCTTACCTTGACCAGTTTTACTCTGGGGGTGATTTATATATGATTTGGTGCGGTGGAGTGGCTGCCAAAGCTGCCTGCTTTTCTCTGGTTTGTGGCTAGTTTTGTGCTGAGGTGGAGGTAATTTGGGTTATGTAAGTGCCCCTTGAAACTGCTGACACAGTTCTTTCTGCTTATGCCTGTTTTTTGGGGGGGAGGGGGCACACTTCCTGGCTGTTGTTATACCTCAGAAGCCTAATAACGGGGTTGGAAATCAGCCCACAGTTGTGGGCAAACATCGTGGGGCACCTGACGCAAGAGACAGAAGGAATTCTGGATGGAGCAATGGGTGCAACTTGTCCTGTCCTACATCCCAGCCATGCAAAATCCAGAGCTTTTCTACACTCTCACATTTGTCAACCCCCCACTGAAGCACGCAAAAGGCACATCATATTTCTATCATGCAGACCAGCCTAGCAAAATAACTCAAGGAAGGTATGCACCAGCCTCCCTTGTCCTTTGTGTTCACTTGTGCCACAAGGAGATATAAGGTTTCTGCTTTTGTATTTGAAATAGGCATACTTCTCTGCAATGTCAAAACCCAGGGAAACTTATGGAAGGTTGCTCTTGTAACACTACATTGTGGACAGGAATCTACGCCCCTCCAGATTTCAAAGATTTGGATGGGACCACAAGCGTCATCTAGTCCAATGCCAGATGCTGGATTCCACTCACATCAGCCCCAGCCAGTATAACCAATGGTTAGGGATGGTAGGAGTTGAGATCCAACAAAATCTGGGGGGGGAGGGCAGAGGTCCCCTGTCCCTGCACTAACCTATGGCTTAGTCTTACATCTGAACTGGGTTGTGTTAACGCTCAGAAACAGCTAAGAATTTTCTTTATTAAAAAAGAAATAAATGGAGTGCAGGGATTTGTACATAAATCAGCAAATATAAAATAAAATGAATCAAAACATGTTTTGAGTACTTCAATTCTGAAAGCATGCAAAGCATCATTTCAGGCCCCAGTTAATCCCGCTGGGAATTTGAGGGGTTGTAAGTAATTTCATGCTATTCCTCTCAAAAATCTAGCAGCCACACAGGATCCATCTGACAGAGCAGCACTTACCTATAATTAATGCAAGTTGTGCAATTGTGCAAACATTCTCAGCACTGGAACAGTTACTAATGTACTCCTGTGTTGTATATAACATGAATGTGGGATGATCTATGTAGCTGTAGTGATGACACTTCAAGGCAGAAATTCCTGAAAAGAAGTTTGGGGAGAAAGGGTATGAGATCCGGGAGAAGCTATTAGCAGTGTCTTTCGGGGACCTCCAGGTATCCCACCTGAGGGAAGGCAAAGCCAAGCCTATGCTGATGGGGCCGCTCCAGATCCAGGGCTGCACGCGTCCACGCAAAGGGCACCCCCCCCCGTTTTAAGCGGGGAGCGGTCATTCTGCCTTGAAATCACCAGGGACTAGAAATAGGTTTTCCCCCTTTAAAGTGAAAGCAGAATTTCTTAGGGGGCAGAAATTTGTGCCAAGTGCCTGTTCTGAACCGCAGGCCCAAAGGAGGGGCCTGAGTGAGTGGTTTGATGTGTAGATATCAAAGGAGGATGCGAAACTATGCCAGAATGGTCAGTCCTAGAGCTTTATTAAATCATAGAGGTGGATGGGACTAGGATGCCAGATGTCTAGCCCAATGCCAGATGTTGGATTCCAACTCACACCAACAGCAGTCAGATGTAAACTGACAAAACAGAACAATGACAACCAAATACAGTGGTGCCTCGCAAGACGAAATTAATTCGTTCCGCGAGTTTTTTCGTCTAGCGAATTTTTCGTCTTGCGAAGCACGAAATCCCATAGGAATGCATTGAAATCCAATTAATGCGTTCCTATGGTCAAAAAAAGTCCAAACAAAGCCAAATTTGGTACAACAAGAGTTTATTAAGTGCTCTTTAAAGTCACACATACTGTACAGAGCATTTCAAAAATTGAAAGAACAATAAATTAAGTTTCTAAACATGACAGGAAAAACATTTAAAAATCAACAAAGTGTACATTACATTTTCTAAGACTCTGGGGGACCACTCGAAGAAGGTTCCTCTTCCACTCTTTGCTTCTTGCTGAAGAACCTGTCCATGGTCTGCTGCTTCATCTGCCTTTTCAGCACCTCCCTGAAAGGCGACATGACCGTCGTATCAAAAGTATTCGCAAGGTCATGTGCCACGTGCTTGTTAGGGTGGTTCCGCTCTGCAAAAGCCTGCACATCCTTCCAATTCATGCAAATGTCCCTCAGTTCTTTGGAGGACAGCCGTTCCTCAGTTGCTTCCTCCTCTTCCAGCGAGGCCTGCTCCTGCGCAGCCTCTGCCTGCAGTTCGACCAGCTCCTGGGTGGTCAGCTCGTGGTCGTGCTCCTCCACCAGCTCGCAGACGTCCTCCTCTGTGACCTCCAGGCCCATGGTCCTCCCCAAGGCAACAATGTCCTGCACCACTGTTGACTCTGGTGCATCAGAGTCACTTGGTGCCACACAGTCCGGCCACAGGCTGCCCCAAGCGCAATTCAAATTTCTCTGGCTGATCCCTTTCCAGGCCGTGGTGATCATCTTCAAGCAGGTGACGATGTCGAAGTGGTCCTTCCAGAATTCCCGCAGGGTGATGGTGGTGCAATCAGTCACCTCAAAGCATCGCCTGAAAAGCTCCTTGGTGTAGAGATTTTTGAAATTGGCGATGACCTGCTGATCCATCGGCTGGAGCAGTGGCGTGGTGTTAGGCGGCAGGAACATGATGTTGATGAAGCTGAACTCCTCCAACAAGTCCTCCTCAAGGCCTTTAGGATGAGCAGGAGCATTGTCCATCAGAAGCAAAGCCTTCAGCGGCAGGTTGTTGTCCAGCAGGTACTGTTTGACAGCAGGGCCAAAAGCAAGATTGACCCAGTCCACAAACAGCACACGTGTGACCCAAGCCTTACTGTTGGATCGCCACATGACACTCAGCTGCTCCTTGTCGACCTTGTGTTTCTTGAAGGCCCGTGGGTTCTCCGAGTGGTACACCAGCAGGGGCTTGATCTTCAGGTCGCCGCTTGCGTTGGCACAGAAGAGCAGGGTCAGACGGTCCTTCATGGGCTTGTGGCCAGGCAACTTGGCCTCCTCCTGAGTGATGAAAGTCCTTTTGGGCATCCTCTTCCAAAACAGCCCGGTCTCGTCGCAGTTGAAGACCTGCTGTGGAACGTAGCCCTCCGTCTTCACAGCCTCCAGGAACTCCAATGCAAAGTCTTCAGCCGCAGGAACATCAGAACTGGCAGCCTCTCCATGCCTGACCACGCTGTGGATTCCAGATCTTGTCTTGAACCGGTCAAACCAGCCTCTGCTTGCCTTGAAGACTTCTGGCTCGCCTGAGGTTCCTGGCTGTTCCCGGACGAGGTCTGCGTGCAAGGCCTTGGCCTTCTCACAAATCATGGCCTCAGTCACTGTGTCCCCTGCACGCTGCTTCTCTTCTAACCAGATGAGCAGCAACTTCTCCACCTCCTCCAGAACAGCTGGGCGGTTCTTCACGATCCTGGTGACTCCCTTGGCTGCATCAGCCGCAAGGATCTTCTCCCTCATCTTCAGGATGGTGCCGATGGTCGATGGGTTCCTGCCGTACTCCCTGGCGAGGTCTGTCACACGCATTCCACCGTCGTGCTTCCGGATGATCTCCTTCTTCATTTCCAGCGTCACCTTCTCCTTCTTCCTCTCGCCGGCCTCTGCAGCAGCAGTCTTCTTGGGTCCCATGGCAGCACAGCTCCTAGCTTCGTAAACTCAGAAAAAAATAATAATCAGTGCTTCATACCCAAAAAATTCAAAAGCACCCAGCCACCCACCACACAGGAATTCAAACCCAGAACCAAGTCCTTGAATTCCAAACACCCAACCCAAAATCCAAAAACCCCCCAAAAAGTTTTAAAAGTTTAACTTACGAAGTGACTGCAAATCACCAAAGTCTTCAAAATCCTCAAATGGCTGCAAAAGAAGTTTTGGAAAAGCTTTAAAAATCACCAAAGTCTTCAAAAACCTCAACTGTTCCCCCAGCCACCCACCCACCACACAGAAATTGCAAACCCCTCCCCAACTGTTGCAAAACCCTCCCCAACTGTTGCAAACCCCTCCCCAACTGTTGCAAACCCCTCCCCAACTGTTCCCCCAGCCACCCACCACACAGAAATTCAAACCCAGAATTTTTTTTTGAAAAAAAACAACATGGCCCAATGGTCACAGAAAATCATAAAAATGCAGAAAAAAACCACACAAGCTTCCAGATTCTTGCAAACCCCTCCTCAACTGTTCCCCCAGCCACCCACCACACAGAAATTCAAACCCAGAATTTTTTTTAAAAAAAACAGCAGAGTGCCCCAATGGTCACAAAAAATCATAAAAATGCAGGAAAAACCCACACAAGCTCCCAGATTCTTGCAAACCTCTCCCCAACACCAAGTCCTTGAATTCCAAACACCCCAACCCAAAATCCAAAAAACCCCAAAAAAGTTTTAAAAGTTTAACTTACCAAACGGCTGCAAAAGAAGTTTTGGAAAAGCTTCGAAAATCAGCAAAGTCCTCAAAAACCTCAAAAAAGGCTACCACACCGCGTGCAATGTGTTGCTCCTCGAAGTCAAGTCGCAACTGCACCTCTTCAAGCAATGCACCCTGGGTATTAACGGTTTTATGAAAAAGGAAACAAACTTGCAAGACGTTTTCGTCTTGAGAAGCAAGCCCATAGGGAAATTCGTCTTGCGAAGCAGCTCAAAAAACGGAAAACCCTTTCGTCTAGCGAGTTTTCCGTCTTGCAAGGCATTTGTCTTGCAGGGCACCACTGTAATAGGCATTAACACCCCCCCCCAAAAAAAGGTATTGTAGTTAACCAGAACTTAACCTAATACGTTATTTATAAAAATGGGGGTGGGGTGGAGTTTTCTACATGGGTATTCATATTTTCTTTTCCTTCTTCTTTATTGTGTCTTATCTTACTCTGTGCACTTGTAATTATGCATTTATATCTTTTAATGAAGAATATAGAAAATAATAATGGAAAAACCTACAGCACAGTGTAGGTTTGAAAGTAAAGTTTGAACAAATAAAAAATGGGTGGAGGCAGACAGCTCCATGGGGACTGCTTTTACTGCCCTTGCTTAGAGGCAGGATACAGATTCTTGGCTGACAGCTGTCACTCAGAAGAAAGAGCTGAAACATCCCCTCCCCATTTCTCCCTCTTCAGCAGGGAAGGGAGCAGAAGGCTCAAGTCTTCTTCATTTCCTGCTTCTCCATGGGTAAATTTTCCCACAATTTTAAAAAACCACTACACTAGGCTGCTTAGTCATTGCCACTCTACTGAGTGCCAGCATATTGCAAGTCAAACCACATTCACTTTCTGGCAAACCTCCTGGGGGACATGACTCCTCCTTCTCTTACCCTGGTGCAGCCCAGACCTCCTCTTCCTTGCAGACAGGGCTAAACTGATGTCATAGAGACACTCCTCCCCACCAGCATTCCCCAAAATGTGAATTAAGCAAGTCATAGCACATTCACTTAATGGGAAACCTCCTGAGTAGGATTGCAATATGTCCTCTTTTTTTCCTGGACACACCCTCTTTTTCAGGATTGAAATTTCTGCCTGGGTGGATTTTTAAATGTCCAGGTTTTTGTTTATTTACTTGTTTACAGTAATCTCAAAAAATAATAATAATCTAGTGTATTTGACTCAGATTTAAGGCACCCGGCTAAGAGAATCACAACAGAGCAGCAGCTTAAACTAGCTACATACTCTATCAATCCTTTCTCTTGTTGCTGATCTAAAAGGATGCTGGCTCAGCTTCAAGATCTTGAAGAAGGAATCTGGGAGGGCAAGAGTTAACATCCCTCTGCCCTTAAGGAGAGTCCTTATGTACATGTTAAATGCAGGAATCCTTTGCCCAACATGGGGCTCAAACCCATGACCCTGACATTAAGCTTCTCATGCTCTACCAGATGAGTCATTAGACCCCATTGAACCCTTTTGGTTGCCCCTTTCTGAACCTTTTCCGTTTACCTTGGAATTCCTTCTTGTTTCTCTGTGCAAATCTAGTTGGTGCCCACCCAACCACCCAGGTCTGCAACTAGAGGACATCCCAATAGCAATAACTGGTACCTGAAATAAGAAAGGTCATCGCCAGCAGTCCTTGCAGCACAACTGTTGCAGCTCTCCATCTCAATGCGACACCCTCCATGGTCTGAAGCCAAGAGGCCCTCCAAGCCAAAGTACCAGTTTCCTGATGAGTTGTGGAGGAAAAGGAAAAGCAGTCCATGATCTGAGAGAGTTGGGCTGTTTGGTTATATATATATCAGACACAAATGTGCTCGGTAGAGCTTCGCAGGTTGAAATTCCCGAGGAGACAGGAGCAGTTCTGTTGATGGCAGGATTATCCAAAGAAGAAGGCAGCTGTGCAACAGGGGCGGACCCATATTTTCATATTTATATGGAGCCCCATGTGAGCCCCTGAGTGATGGCCAACTAGCTGAGATAGTGCAAAGGGAGGCTGGCGTCTCTTGCTCTCCTCGCCCACTTCTCCCATCCTATCTTACTCTCTGTTTCTTCATCTAATGTTCTCTCCATGACAGAAAGAAATTAAAAATCACAAAAACAGTCAGGCGGATGTCTAGGGGTTCCCACCCCCCTTTCCCTCCCTCCTTCCCCCTTTCTACCTATTTTTCTCAAGCAGAAAGACAAATTCAAAGCTTCAGAAATCCTCCCCTCTCTTTCCTCAATCTCTTTCTCCAAAACAAAAGAAAAGCAGTAGACTTTTAAGACATTGGACGATGCAGAAGGAAGATATCAGTATGAAATGGCATTGCCAACAGGAACTGTACATTGTAATCATTGGACTTGACAGTCTTTGGACTTGACTATCCTTGGACTTTACGACAATAAAAACATATAATAGTAATATGATATCTTATTGCCATCAGGAACAGTGCTTTGCAATTTTTTGGTATGACGATTAGATTACAGTTTCATTATATATAATGTTATGTTACTTTACAGCCAGTTACGTGTGTGTTGTGGTATTCTGAACTTGATTTACGCAATGAGGCAATTGTGGTATGTGTTGACCTAGTCATTTGCCATGGCTGTTTCTATTGCTATAATTCAGGTAATCAATGAGGTCACGTATTAATAGTTTGATTATTACAATATAAAAAGTGGAGACAGCAATGACTATTTAGCAGGTGGAATCTATTTATGATTAATTTACACTGGATAAATCTTTAAAAAGCTAAGAAATACTAATGAAGATGTAAAAAACCTAATGTACTAGATCTCTGCTAGTTGGATATCATTGCGATTATGTTCCTTTAAGAATGGTAGATTCTAATTGCCTGTACCTATTGATTATTACTTAGAATATCTTTGATTGACTTTGGTGTTCCTGGGGTCCTGCATTACTTATTTCTTCTATAGATATCCTGTGTTGTCTGAATTACTGCAAAGAAGGTATCCTTTCTTGTAACAACAGGTGTTTAGGTAATTAATGATGTTACAATCTCCTAAGAATAATTTATACTTTTATGTTCAACATTAGGAAGTGGAGACCGCAATGACCATTTGCCATATGGGATCCATTGATGATTAAGCCTCACTGAATAAGTTTGATAAAGTTGTAATAGTGTATATAAATGAAGATGTGGAATACTTATTTTAAACGTTGTGAGTTTTATTCTAGAGTCTTTCTGTGTTTACAATGGTTCTCTATATATGATATGAATTTACTCCCTTCTCTCTGGAATGCTTGGTCATTCTTGTTCTGGATTCTCCCGGTCAGCTTTGACGGTTCCGCATATTCCGTCAGTATTATCTGCCATTCTTCGATTGTTGGTAACTCCTGCTGTTTCCATTTTTGGACTAATAAAATTCTAGCAGCTGTTGTGCATACATAAAGAATTTTTGATCAACTCTTGATATTTCCCCACCTAGCATTCCTAACAGAAAAGCTTCAGGTTTCTTTGGGAAGGTGTACCTGAACATCTTTCTTAATTCATTGTAAATACTGTTCCAAAACAGTTTAATTTTATCAGACGTCCCCCACATATGGTAAAAATCCCCTTCTTTAACCTTACATTTCTAAAAATGCTTATTACTCATTCTATACATTTTTGCTAGTTTAAAGGTAAAGGGACCCCTGACCATTAGGTCCAGTCATGACTGACTCTGGGGTTGCGGTGCTCATCTCGCTTTACTGGCCGAGGGAGCTGGCGTACAGCTTCCAGGTCATGTGGCCAGCATGACTAAGCTGCTTCTGGTGAACCGGAACAGGGCACAGAAACGCCGTTTACTTTCCCGCCAGAGCGATACCTATTTATCTACTTGCACTTTGATGTGCTTTTGAACTGCTAGGTTGGCAGGAGCTGGGACCGAGCAACGGGAGCTCACCCTGTTGCGGGGATTCGAACTGCCAACCTTCTGATCGGCAAATCGTAGTTGGTAGCGATCAAATACCATCTATATATCATTTTCATTATATTTTCCTTCAATGTCATGCCTGCAGTAAATTTCATACCCGTATTCCATAACCTTGACCATTTATCAAAGTCAATGTTATGGATAATGTCTATTGGCCATTATATCATTACTTCCTTAGTTTCCTCATCTTTTGTATGCCATTCTAGAAGTAACTCGTACATTTTAGATAGGATTTTTGTTTTACTTTCCAACAATTCGGTTTCCAGCTTGGCTCTAAATGTCTCAAAGCCATTCTTCCTTTTGTCTTTTTCAAATACATCATTAATTTGTTGATACTGTAACCCTAACCTGTTAGCTTATCACATGTTTCATCATATGGTTTCATTTTTAACACTTTATCCCTTTCTATTAGCAACTCCTTATATGTTGGCCAATTACCTTTCATATTTAACCGCTTGACTGAAATTGCTTCTGCTGGTGAAACCCACCATTGGTGTTTTATGTTCTAATACTTCTTTATATCTCATCCATACTTCATACAACGGTTTTCTTATTGTATGATTCTTATTGCATGATCCTCTGTGAACTCTGACTTTATCATACCACAAATATGCATGCACCCAAATCTGTTTCCATAACCTTCTAAACCTACCTGTGTTTTCTAGTTTCATCCAATCCCTTAACCAAGTCAAACAGGATGCTTCATAATATATATTTAAATTCAGCAGTGAGAATCTGCCTCTTTCTTTTTTATCTGTAAGAAGTTAATACTTTACTCTAGGTTTCTTCCCCTGCCAGATAAATCTTGACAATGCTTTTTGCCAAACTTTAAACTGTCCTGTTCCACTGATCATTGAGATTGTCTGAAACAGAAATAACATTTTGGGTAGCACATTCATCTTTATCACAGAGATTCTTCCCCAGAATGACAATTTCAGTCTATCCCAAATTTCTAAATCTCTTTTAATATCTTTCCACACAGGTACATAATTGTCTTTAAATAAGTTTATATTTTTGGGAATCAACCAGATACCCAAATATTTTACCTTTTTGACCACTGTGATTCCTGTTTTATCTTGTAATTCTTTAATTTGTTCCTGATTCATATTTTTAACCATCATTTTTGTTTTGGCTTTATTTAATTTAAAACTTGCCTATTGCCCAAACTCTTCAATCACTTCCAGTGCTTCCATTACACTGGCATGTCGCTCTTCTAATGTTATTTCTCTTCTAACTATATTTCTCTCATTATCTTTCAATTGATGCCCAGGAAGAAAGTCCACTTGTCAGAGACATGGTTGGCAGAGAGGAGTCTGCAGAGGGGGAGGAAGAGGCAGAGGAAAACAGGAACTTGAGTTGTTCTCACAACAAAAGTGAGATAACCCCTCCTCACTCTGGACTGCTGCCTGTAAGTTTTTGCAGCAGCACAGAGATGAAGGAGCAGGATGCAGGTGGTAGTAGAGGGCTGGATTCAACTCCAGAGGAGAAGGAATTGGCTGCACCTGAGTCTCCAAGAAGCAGGAGGTGGAGCAAGCGATTAGAACAGAGGAAGACCAGCAGGAAGTGGGGGTAGGCTTATTCAGTGAGGCTTAATCATCAATGGATCCCATATGGCAAATGGTCATTGCGGTCTCCACTTCCTAATGTTGAACATAAAAGTATAAATTCTAAAATTATGGAATTATGATCCAAAAATGTCCTTGGCAATATCTCTGTACTTATTGTTCTTGGAGCTAAGTCCTTGGGAATCCAGACTTGGTCTACTCTACTAGAACTTGTTTTGAATCAGAGAAAAATGTGAATTGTTTTGTTAATGGGTTTTTTAAGTCTCCAAATATCAATTAAATCATGATTATCCACCAACGAAAAAAGAGCCTTTGGGAGTTTTCCCAGGTTTCCCTCCCTTTTGCTTGATGTTCTGTCCATTTCTAACAACACCACTCCATTTAAATCACCCATCAAAATTACTTTCTGGTCCATATGGTCAAACAATTTTTCCTCCAATTCTTTATAAAAGTCTGATTTCCTCTCACTTGATGCATAGATCCCAACAATGATAAAGTTGTTGCCTTGCAGTGTGACTTGGACCCCTATCATTCCCCACTCATTGTCTTTAAACAATTCTTTTGCATTGTGTTTTCCTTTAATGTACAAAACCACTCCCCTTTTATTATTTACAGCTGAAGTTACAAATGCATTTCCCAATCTTTTATTTATTAGAACTCTTCTGTGTGTTTTTTAGCAACACGTGTTTCCTGTAAACAAATCATATCCGTTTTTAAAAAATCAATAAATGTTCGATTTTCTTTCTTTTCACTTTCTAATTACGTCCATTAACATTCCATGATAATGCTTTATCCAATTAAAATTAAAATAATTTTATTATTATGATTGGGATTTTTCCTCTTCCTCTTTCTCTTCTTCCAACTGTTCTCCAAGCACAGGTCTGTCCTCCTCCTTCCTCTCCAATTCTTTGGCAGATTTCCTCCAAAATTTGGCCGTGTCCTGTGGATTCCTGATCTTGAATTTCTTATCTTTGTAATAAAAGGAGATTCCTTCCGGTAACTCTAACCTTTTTGCAATTTCTGTAACCAGTTTTATTCTCACATCCTCCCCTTCTTGTCCCAGGATTCCTCGAAATTTCAAATTTATTTGTTTCTTGCTCATCTCGAGAAATGCAAGATTGTCTCTCATGACTGGTGTTATGTGGTTGGCAGCCACTCCCAGTCACCCGTCTAGCTGCCGCATTCTGGATTAATTGCAGTTTCTGGGTCACTTTCAAAGGTAGCCCCATGTAGAGCGCATTGCAGTAGTCCAAGCAGGAGATAACTAGAGCACGCACCAGTCTGGTGAGACAGTCTGCAGGCAGGTAGGGTCTCAGCCTGCGTAACAGGTGGAGCTGGTAGACAGCCACCCTGGACACAGAATTAACCTGCACCTCCATGGACAGCTGTGAGTCCAAAATGACTCCCAGGCTGTGCACCTGGTCCCTCAGGGGCACAGTTACCCCATTCTGGACCAGGGAGACCCCACACCTGCCCTCCCCCTGTCTCCCAAAAACAGTACTTCTGTCTTGTCAGGATTTAATCTCAATCTGTTAGCCACCATCCATCCTCCAACCGCCTCCAGACACTCACACAGGACCTTCACCACCTCCACTGGTTCTGATTTAAAAGAGAGGTAGAGCTGGGTGTCATCTGCATACTGATTAACACCCAGCCCCGTTTGCCCGATGGAATTGACTGAAGAAGGGAGCGGTCTTCCCAAACACCAACAGAAGCAGCAACAGCAGCAGAAATAAACTGTCTGTTATGAAAAGGACATTGTGTAACTTGTGCAACCTGACATCTCCGCCAGATGCCCCTGTTTTATCAAATTATGGCTTCTGATTAATGGCTTCTGGTTTGGAGTGGAAGATTCTGCAGACGTCGCTGGCAAAGGAACACTGATCTTGCACCATGACCTAGCTGAACGGGACAGAGTTGGGGGACCCCTCCTGTTGCCCAGAACTGTATTCCTTAGAAGGCAGTCTGGGGTTTTATACCAGTGGTGGGCGGAGCCAGAGGCAAACAAGTAGGTGGAGCCAGGAGTGTGAACTACATTCCAGCTGTGCAAAAGTCATTCAATCTCCACATCCCTGTATACACACATCTCCACCCTTCCTCCAGAAAAACAAGAGGCATTTCATAGTTCAAATCTACATCTCATTCCTGCAAAATCACTTGAGGAGTGTGTGAGTCAAGAACAGTGAGGGCTGCAACCTGAGGATAAGGAGTACAGCCTTTGGAAAGTCCTGGGGGCCACACAGAGACATTTGGTCGGCCGCATTCAGCCACCAGGCCTGAGGTGCCTCATGTCTGTAGTGGATCAATCTTTGTCTTCCCTAAAATCACTGCTGAACAGAGTCTCCAAAGGCTGCTTCTATCATTGTAAACCCCAATTGTTCAGCCAAACCTGTTGTCCCTCTTGTGGGGTTTTATTTGCCAGGCATTTGCAATTGTTTCATCACATTTGTTCTACTTAACAACATTAGATTATTCTTGTCTCTCAGTCTTACTCCTGTTTGAAGAATATGATGTAGTTTTTATTGCATTGTGTTGAGTGAAGAGTGGATTTTTCAAGGAAGGAAGGAAGGAAGAATTCAAGGGTCATCTTCCATGTGTTACCTTTGCTCTCTAGTTGTAGGAACGTGGAATCACAGAACTGTAGAATAGATTACCATTGTTGGAATGGATTACCATTCTTGATATTGTCACAAAAGTTGTCCCCCTCTATCTGCCAAGCGGTAGCAGGAGCCCATGGGGTTCCAGGCACTGACTCAGAGTCTGTGTTTCTTTGGAGAATTGAGACATGGCGGAGACTCATAGCTTTAATAAATATGCTTAATAATTTTTACACCTTAAATCTGCATGGAGTGAGTCCAGATTGTACAGTAGAGTTCTTTCCAGAGGAAGTCCAAGGCATCTCTCTTTGCCAGCCTTTAGGCCGCCTACCCAAGATGCATTCCAGTTCTTCTTCCTTCTTCTTATTCCCAGCAGCATTTGCTCAAAACTGTCTTTTCCTGTCACCTCACACCTGGTTCCCCTGGCAAGCTTCCAAACCCCCAGTCTCTGTTCACACCTCAGGGAGGGGGGAAGGACCGTTCTCTTGCATTGCCACTGGCCCTCTAGAGCAGCAGGTAGCAGCAGAAGGCCCCATTAGCTAAAATGGTGCTTCATGTTAAGAACAGTTTCAGGTTAAGAACCGACCTCAGGAATGAATTAAGTACTTAACCTGAGGTACCACTGTATCTGTTTTCAAAAATGAAAGAAAAGCAATGGCCACCAGTATTTCTCCAGTCAGAAGAGGTGTCCAGCTCCTCTGCCTTAATTTGCAACACAGAGAGCAGAGCAGAGAACCCAGGAGTCCTGAGTCTCACTCTTCCCCAGCCGCTAGTCTCCACTCCACACCTTTCTCAACAAGTAACTTAGTGCCTGATTCAGTACTCAGAAGCAAGCCTTGCTTTGTTCAGTGGGACTTAATACCCAGACATCAGAATGTAAGAAAATGGCCCCATTGAGGCCAGCATCCTGTTCTCACAGTGGCCAACCAGAGGCCTGTGGGAAACCCTCAAGCAGCAGCCAAACAAAAGATGACTTTCCCCTTCTTCCGTTTGCAGCAACTTTCAAAAGAGAAGGTCCTCAGTGGTGTGGGGAAAGGCACTCTGTGTATGTTCAGAGGCGGTCCATGTAAAACTTCCCTAAACAGGGAGGAATCCTAGGCCAGAGGTCCAAATTCAGCCCTCCAGAGCCCTCTGTATCGGTTCCTTATGACCAATAGTCGGCAAGGTTTACCTCGCCTGGGCCAGTTCACTCCAGCGGAGATCCTTCTGTGGGTCGGAATATGTATGTGTGTGTGATTTTCAGTGTGTGATTTTTGGCATCTGTGTCTGTGCAGACGTGATTTTTGGTGTCTGCGCAAGCGCAGACACAATTTCCAACAACATAGAAGTATGTCCCTGCTCCGCACTACGCCGGTTTACTGCAGCGCACGGGGACTCTCTGAGCAGGTGGCTTGGTTTGGGGGCAGCTCATGGGCCGGTTAAATAACCCCCATGGGTCGCTTGTGGACCATTGGCCTTAGGGTGCCGATCCCTGCTTGTGACTCTCCCCAGACGGCACTCCTCACCAGCCCTGCTTCAAATTCTCCTTGGTAGAATCTACACACATCTAAAAAATACTGTGAAAATGCTTTTTTTAAAAAAAAAAGTTTTGCATTGCCAATGGCCCTCTAGGGCCACCTTTTGTTCCTTAACGACCCTAGCTTGGCCAGGTCATTTTGCAGAAGCTAGTCCTGTAATTCCTCTGCAGCTTCTATTCTCCCTTCATATCCCAAATAATCAACATCCTAGCATTTATTAATTTCTAGGGTTTAGGGGTACCACAAAATCTATAGTATTATATTGAATATGTAGTTCATGAGTTGTCTCCAATGCCAGTCCTATGGAGAGTAGTCCCACTGAAGTTAATGGGCATGGCTAACTTGGGTCCATTGATTTCAGTGGCTCGGATCTGCTGATGAATGAATGAAATCTTTATTGGAAAAAGCTATAAGCCATCACAATTGGTCACGATGCGTAGAATACAAATAATTGATTTAAAACTGAACAACAACAACAATAGCAAAGCATACATACAAAAATGCAAAAATTACACCTGCATAAGTTAAGCACTCCACTTCTCACATTCCCCTTATGATACCTGTCTTGGTGCCTAGCTCTCAACTTACTTGCAGCCAAGGCAAATTTTGCAACCAGTGCAGTAGTAAATACGTTATTGCCAGCCAGCAAAATAGAGATTCGCTCAAGGGGAGTTCAGTTAGAAAGAGAGCAAAGGATGCAATCGAGGAATTCTTGTCTAGGGGACAAGGGCTTATAAAGGGCATCATAACAAATAGTGTTGAATGTCCTCCATGTCTCACGACTCACAGATGCAGAGCCTTTGGTACACAGGGTATTCCCATTAGATATGCAGAGGGTGTACAATGAAGCATGAGATTAATAAAGTACTCCTCCAGCCCAAAAGATGTTTTATATATTGGATACCATGATGAGTATGCTGTCTGGGAAAGTGAATGAAGGTCCCTCTATTTAGAGTCTGAATAAATTTTTTCTTTGATGCGTTGTTTGACTCTGTTAGAGGCAAGATTTGGTAGGGATTCCACATTAATCCCATAATAATGGAGAATCTTACTGACTGAGTTTGCCCAAGAGCTTTGGGGCATAGATTGCAATTGCTCTAAGAAGCATTTTTTAGGGAGCCTAGTATTACTCATGCTAGCCAACTTCAGCCAGTACTACATGCTACATGTACACTGGTTTGTCAGGAGATTAGCCCTGGTTCAGCTCTTAAAAAGGGGGCGGATGTGCCTTTGGGGCAATCAACAGAGACTTCAGGAAAGAGTTCTGCACCACTTCTAACGGGCGGCCATTACTATATCCCCAAATCTGTGCACCATACAATAATTGTGGCACAATCGTCTTTTGAAATACCTCAACTGTGGGGGCAACTATATCTGGAAAACCATAATGAAGAGTGAGAGGATTTCAATTTAGCTGCGAGTAGGTGTGGCTTCCAGGACAGTTTTGAATTAAAACCCAAGCCAAGGTACTTATAATAGCATTGTTGTTCAAGAGGTTTATTGCCTGAGTAGAACTGAGTTGGGTATAGCCCTTAGTATGTTGCAATCACAGCCCAAATAGGTGGGGTCCTGGGAAGCAAACAAATTGCTTGGTTTTGGGAGGGAGAATCAGACCCCAAGGCGGTGGCCATCCAAAATAAAATTTTATTATATATATATATGAGCCATACATGCAATTGGTTGGGATTGATCACTGTCTTGGAGCGCTAATTCCCCTCCCTTCTGCCTTCCTCTGTGCTCCACAACACAGCCCTTCCAAACCCAAATGCAGGTTCCAGCAGTTCAGGTGCTCCCAAACCCCCTTCCTCACCCCCATATCCCGAGGACGGTGGCTCCTAGGGCTGCCAGGAGAGGGCAAAGTTGAAGGCTGAGCCCTTGGAAACCTGACTGCAGGGGGGCTAGCCATTCTGTACGTTCAAGTTTATCACCCTCATCCTCATCCTGATCATAAAAGAGGTTTGGGTTGGCGATGTTCCTCACATCATAAGCTATTTTGACAGGAGCTGTTGGGTTGATTCCCTTGTTCGGAATGTCAACCTCCTCCTTGTTGCAATTGCTGCCTGAACAACAAGACCCTGACTCACTGGTGATATTTATAGGGCCGAAGGATTGGCTCTCAGACACATCGCAGGCTGGGCGCTGGCAGGTCCTGAAGATCATGGACACGAAAAGGGGTCCTGTTGTGGGAAGGGAAGGGAAGACAAGAAAGGCACAAAATGTTAGGCATGAGGGCTGTTGCCCCTCTTCTCCCAGAATGCAGTAGGACGCCACAGAGAATCCTGAAGAGTGTAGAGCCCGAGGGGTAGCCCACACCCATGAGTATAGTGTGACCAAGGCTCAGACAACGTGCCTAAATTTTTATTAGGGGGCAGGTCCCCCTACATCTTTGAAAAAGCGGCCTGCTTTGCCTTAGAGTGGCAATTCTGAGGTGAAAATCTGTGGGAGTAAGTTCTTCAGAGGAGCAAACTCTGAACTGACATAACGTTCGGTTTTAATTATTTTAATTTTAATTATTTTTAAATTAAATTAATTATTAAATATTTATTCTAACTGTGCAATATATTTTATTCTCTTTTATGTCTTTTATCTTTTGTATTGGTTTTGGCCACAAACATAAATCATATTTGCACATAAGTTGTTTATTTTAAAGTTATTGTGGCTTTTTTTTTTACATTGGATCAGATTGCTCTTATTAATGATTGATGTTTCATTATGTTTTTATATGTCCTGGAAGCTGCCCAGAATGGCTGAGGCAACACAACCAAATGGGTGGGGTATAAATAATAAAATTGTTGCTGTTGTTGTAGTTACATGAAAAGGAATACATCTATGTCATCTCCATCAAGGGGCCTCAGGCACATCTGAACAGGGGTGAGATACATTTATTTCATTTAGAAGCAGCTTGTCACACCCCAGTTTTCAGTGTGCCTATATTCTCAAAGTAGGTTGCAGGTGATATTATTATTATTATTATTATTATTATTATTATTACTATTACTATTATTACTATTAGGCACCATTAAGATGTCACCTCATCAAAACACCCCCTGCAATCACTGGATCAACCCCAAGGGGAATAAATCAGCAGACAATTGCTAAATAGAGAGAGTACCACAGTGAAGTTGTATATCAGTCTACACCAATTTGGTGCCATTCATATGTCATGGACTCAAACTGCCATCAGCCCCAGCCAACTTATACAGGGCACCAGGGCTGGCAAAGGCTTCTGTAAAGAAATCAGTCTTCAAGTGAGAGGAAGGCAGAAGAGTTTGCATTCTCCACCTGCTATCAGCCACCTGCGACCAAGTGCCAGGATGGCACCTGACATCAACAACTGGAGGAGGTGCATGCCTGAGGATCATCAGATCTCAACTGTTTCCACACACTAATACCACATCCTGTAGAGTTCTGTCCATTATATTTTATCTGCACAATCAGAATGAATTTCAGGAAGCAAAAAGCTTTTTCAGTGTAGCCTGAACAGAAGCAGTGAACAATGTTATAGCTAATTGTTGTCACTTGTCTTCCCCGCCCCACTGCCCTGCTCACAACTGTGAAGAATATTCTTACGTTACAAATGGCCTGTGTCACCATTAAGAAAAAGTGATAGGAATAGGCCAAGATATATGTGGACTGTCCCTGGATCTAGCCAGATGTTTAACTGAGAATCAATCACAGTCAGTCCATCATTTGAAGACCAAGACTTTAGAGCCATCTTGCCCCCAAATGGAAACTGGACATTCCGTTTTTGCGACTGTCACCTTGGTTTAAGGAGCCATTTGGCACCTTGATTATATATCTGAGTTTCTAACACGTGGGCAGGTGAAATTGTTTTAACTTTGTGCCTAAAACTTAGGTGCATTCCATAACCAATTTACCATCATGGAGAAGGAAGGCCTTGTTTCTGGTCACCAACCATCACTTGTTTGAATTAAAGCACAAACACACCCTTTAAATAATGTATTTAGAAGAGAAAGAGGGCATTGGTATGGTAAAATTAGAGGTCAGGAGTGGAGCAATATCAGGCTCCCTCTCTGCTTTCTCCCATAATTTGAGCATTGCACCCACCTAATCTCCAAAGGAAAAGACACCTTCATAGGTTGGGATGTGGAACAGTTAATTGCAAGGCATGCTTCCCGACAAGTCCAGCAGGGGGCAAAATGTTTTGTAGGCCAGGAACTGTGGAATAAATTTCCTAGGGCGAACTCACCTACTGAAATGCTCTTGGTGCCATTGTAACACCGGTTGTAGCCCCTGCCGCATGTCATAGTCTGCTGGACGGTTTCACTGGGGCCCCAAGCAAATCCTGAGTAACACTGGTTGGAGCCGCTTGGTTCAGCTGCTGGAATAGGAAATCAAAATGAAGAACAAGGGGCCTGTAGAGCAACACTCACCCCATTAAGCTGCTAATGTGGGGCTGGGTGGAAAAGGGTGACTCCCTTTTATAGGATCCCCCCCCCATTATTCCGTCTCTTCAATAACGATGGGGGGGGGGTTATTTCGGTTTGCTTTGCATATCAAAGTGAACCTATTTAATTTGCGCTTTTCAAAGCAATCAGTACCTTAATTGTACTCAGGCTACAATTGTACTCAGAGCGAGAGGACATTCGATACAAGATGTTAATAAAGAATGGATAGTATTTAAATATTATCTCAATAGTTACTGTGATAACTAAAGTCTCCTGGCAGATATTGAATGAGTCTTGTAACATAATGTAACGGTGGAGGAAAAACAGAATTAAGAAAGAGAAAAGCAATTCTAGGAAACTGTGTAAAAAACAAAATCAAAATGCAAAATAGTACAATGGGTATAGTCGGAAGGTTTCTTTTTTCTTAACATACTTTTTTCTACTTCTTTTTCTTTTCTTTTCTTTTCTTTCCCCCCTCTTTTCAATGTTTGTAATTTGTATTTTATCTTATATGTACAATAAAGGAATTTTAAAAGTAAAAAAAAAAGTGCTCAGGGTAAACCCACTGAAATGAATGTGTATGAATATAGGTCGATGTGTGAAGAAAGAAGGAGCTATCATTCGAAATTCACACTTTCCCAAATTTTCCAAGGCAGTTCTTCAACTTATAAGTGTGTGCTGATGCCCTTGCCTTTTTCCACTTGCCAAACCCACCAGACCCTTCATCAAGCCCCACACCTGAGCAAGTCCCCTCCCTTTACCCCTCACTCACCCCTCACCTAACCCCCCCAGCTCATCCCTCCCCTACAGGTCACTCCATGTTCCCACTCCCCTCACAGCTTCCTCCAAACCTTTCCCATGCTCTCACAGCTAAATCACATCCTAAAGCACACTGTTTTGTACATTTATTGAGAAGCGTGTTAGCTTTCTTTGGCACACAAGCCCAAGGGTTGGGGAAGCGGGCCATTTGCCTTAGAAATCTACAAAATTGAATTGTTCAAGCTATTGAAAACCTATTGGCCACCACCCACACAACAAGTGAAACTGTGAGTTCTCCCTTAACGGTCAGAATTCCTACTAAAAAAATACCTCCGTCCTCAATAGGGGTCCTGGGAACTTCCCTCGTTTCTGTTTTCACATTGCAAAGGTCATCAAAACAGTAGCTCTCATTGAACTGGATGGCAAAGTGTCGGTCACCAGAGGTTATAAATTCTGTTTCATTCTTAAGGTCCTTGCTGGTGCAGCCTTTGTGGCTCACTATCAAAACTTCTTTATCTAAAACAAGGGGAGATGCATATATACAAACAATAGATTGATGCAGTGGCAGAGTTTTCCAAAGACAATTTTTGCTCTGGGTGGGGGTGATTTATACATTATTTGGTTTCTGCTATCACATTTGAAATAGGCATAGTTCTCTGTGATGTCAAAACCCAGACAAACTTACAGAAGGTCGCTCTTGTAACACTTCATTGTGGACAGGAATCTGTCCCTCCAGATTTAATAGAATTGTAGAGTTGGATAGGACCACAAGTGTCATCTGGTCCAATGCCAAATATTGGATTCCACTCACATCATCCCCAGCCAGCATGACCAATGTTTAGGGATGGTAGGAGTTGAGATCCAACAAAATCTGGAGGGGCCAGAGGTCCCCTGTGTCTGCACTAAACTCTGGCTTAGTGTTACATCTGAACTGGGTCTGTGACAACTCTTAACAATAGCTATGGGTTTTTTTAAATTATTATTTAAAAAGAAAGCAATGGAAGAGATAAGTTTGTCCAAAAATATGCAAATATAAAATAAGAGGAATCAAAGCACATTTTAAGTATCTTAATTCTGAATGCATGCAACGCTTCATTTCAGGCCCCAATTCAAGCCTGAAATGATGCTTTGCATGCATTCGGAATTAAGGTACTTAAAATATGTTTTGATCCACTAGGAATTTTAGGGGTTGCAAGTAATTGCATGCTTTTCCTCTGTCAAAAATCTTGCAGCCACACAGGATCCATCTGGCGGAGCAGCACTTACCTATAGTTAATGTAAGTTGTGCATCTGTGCAAACGTTCTGAGCACTGGAGCAGTTGATAATGCCACCCACTGCGGAGACATACACTGTGGTGTTGCCCTTGTGCGGAGTGAAATGATTCACGGTGCTGGAGCTATGACAGCTCAAGGCAGAAATTCCTGAAAAGAAGTGTGGGGAGAAAGGGTATGAGATCCTGGAAAGGCTATCAGCAATGTCATCCTGCCTTGAAATCACCAGAGACTAGAAATTGGTTTCCCCCTTTTAACATGAAAGCAGAAGTTCTTAGGAAGCAAAGATTTGCGCCAAGTGCCTTTTCTGAACCGCAGGCCCATAGGAGGGGCCTGAGTGAGTGCTTTGATGAGTGGATACCAAAGAAGGATGAAGAAAAAAAAGCCAGAATGGCCAGTCCTAGAACTTTATTAAAGAAAGATGTAAGCTCACAGCACAGTGTGCAGAGCCTCACTGCCTTCACAGATGCAGGACGGACTCTGCAACAGTGAAATGTTGACATGACTAGTCCACACCCAAGCAAACTTTCCTACAGAATGGATACACAGAGCAGCATGCATCAGTTTTCTCCAAATGTCCCATCACACCTGGCCAGCGAGGCCATAGGTGGCAGCTATTGAAAGCTTCTCCTGTCTCAGTGCATGTTGGTGTTTCAAAGCTCAGTGGCAGCTGGTGCAATGCCAAAATTTGGCACCTCCCTGCCAACTGCCTTTGCTTGGACTTCATTCAACACCTTGAAATATACTGGAATACCTCCTTGTCCATGTACTGGCATCTGCGTGCAGATGCAGCAATCATGTGAGTCAGTGTTTGCTGCTGAACGATACATCCAATTGGAGCAGAAACCTTTGCTGTCTCCATCACGACGGCCAAACTTCCCAAGCTCCCAGTCCACATGTGGTATTGGAACATCCTGGCACAATGGAGACAAGCCAGCTTAGGAGTTCCAGGACCACACACAGTAGGATAACAATGACCACCACTATCTACTCAGGGGCAGCCTGCTAATGGGCAAACAAATATTGGTTAGGCTCAACCCAAGGCACATCCTCTGCCAGCACCAGCATTGAACTAGTAGCTGTCCCAGCCATGCTCAGAATTTCAGTGGCCAGCAGTTGGAGTTGAGCCCACTTCCCCCAGCCTGACAGGGCAATGTCTGCAGAGCTTGCAGGACCAGTTTTGTTGTTGTTTAGTCATTTAGTCGTGTCTGACTCTTTGTGACCCCACGGACCAGAGCACGCCAGGCACCCCTGTCTTCCACTGCCTCCCGCAGTTTGGTCAAACTGATGTTGGTAGCTTCGAGAACACTGTCCAACCATCTCATCCTCTGTCGTCCCCTTCTCCTTGTGCCCTCAATCTTTCCCAACATCCGGGTCTTTTCCAGGGATCAGTTTTACTTCTCCTCAATAGTTGGGGTCTATCATGCCCCTGAGCAGTTGCACTCCGTCCAGGGCCCATATAATCAATTGTACACCAGGGTGCATTTTCCACACTCGAATAATAATAATAATAATAATAATAATAATAATAATAATATACCCCATCCATCAGATTGTGACTCCCAACAAAATATAATAATAATAATAAAGTGATAAAACATCAAACATTAAAAACTTCCCTAAACAGGGCTGCCTTCAGATGGCTTCTAAAAGTCAGATAGTTGTTTATTTCCTTGACATCTGGTGGGAGGGTGTTCCACAGGGTGGGTGCCACTACCGAGAAGGCCCTCTGCCTGGTTCCCTGCAAAATCACTTCTCACAGGGAGGGAATTGCCGGAATGCCATTGGAGCTGGACCTCAGTGTCTGGGCTGAATGATAGGGGTGGAGATGCTCCTTCAGGTATACTGGGCTGAGGCCATTTAATATACAGGAACTGGAAAAGACTTTTGCTCTTCCACGGGGGACCCCCTCCCAGTCTGCCAATTGTTCATCAGCCATACCGCATGGGGGCCCACTCCTTCAGGGATTTGGGTGACCCAGGCAGAATTCGGAATTGCTGTTCCAATAATATGCTCATGCATTCTGCGGCTCTAAAGCATGATACACAGCTGCTCTCCAAGAAGTGGGTACCGGGTTTCAGTTCCTTTGAGGAGCTGTTGCTGAAACACACCCAGCCCACTGCTCATTCTGCCCTCAGCGAGAGCCTGCAAATGGGTAGCTTGTAAAACAAGGGCTTTTGCTTCCAGCAAGTTTCACAAGCTGCTACAATTTTTTTCACTTTGTTGCCAGAAAAATGCCAATTGCAACCCGTCCTTTCTTTTCTCTATACATCTGTTGGGTGCCACCCTATGCCCTACTATATGTCCCCTGGGACACACATAGAATAAGTGCACCCTTATTTCACCTCCATGGTCCTTGACCTTTGCCCAACCGCTTGGCACTGCAGGTGGTCTTGCATATCCTTAACACACCAATCCAGAAAAGTTAAATCATCAGAGACAAGCATGGCATACAATAAGGAAACACAACTGACCTTGGGGCAGGGCTTGGAACATCCCTAGAAAAAGCGAATAGGTTTTGGGACTCATGAGCAAGGTGAATATAATAAAAAAGAAAGCACTACCTAATTCATCTACAATTTGGGAAATTTTACAGTGCCCCCTGCCCCAAGTGTGGTTGCTTGGTTGCTGCAACTTTAAAAGCAAAACTTGAAATGTTTGTAATTTTTTTCTGTATTTCTGTAATTGTTTATTCACGTGTTAAGAGTTCTTGGCTTTTAATTACTGTTTTACTGAAAGCTTAGAAGTATGATTTGGGTCAAAATAATGAGAATCAATTTGAACCAAAATAAAAAATAAAATAAAATGAGTGGAGGCAGAACGCTCCACAGGAGCACGTTTCACAGTTCCTAGTCCGACTGCTTTTACTGCACTTGCTTAGAGGCAGGATACAGAATCTTAACTGACAGCTGTCACTCAGCGGAAAGAGCTGAGACACCCCCTCCCCACTTGTCCCTCTTCAGCAGGGAGGGGAGCAGAAGGCTCAGGTCTTCTTCATTTCCTGTTTCTCCCTGGGTAGGTTTTCCCACAATTTTAAAAACACTACATCAGGCTGCTTAGCATTGCCTCTCTACTGAGTGCCAGCAGGAAGCAAGTCAAACCACAAATCACTTTCCGGGAAAGCTCCTGGGGGACATGACTCCGCCTTCTCTTTACTTGATGCTGCCCAGACCTTCTCCTCCTTGCAGACAGGGCTAAACTGACGTCATAAAGACACTCCCCCCCAGCAGCAGTCCCAAAACAGACAGAGGACCCTGCCACTGGGGCGGGGCTGCTCATAAAAGATTAGTATGCATCAAAGCAGAAAAACAGATTTCAGCACAGACAGGAACAGCCAGCCTACCACGACCACAGTGTCCCTTCTCCCACAAACTTCAGTTGTCAAACTTAATCCCTCGAGGGCAGTGGTTATGGCTGCTGGATCTGGCATGACAACGGACCAGTCCAATGCCTTCACCTTAGGCAACCGCTGAATCCCAGTCCAGCCCACCCCATCCTTATTTTGGCATCCTGCCAACTACGTCAAATGTCCTGAACTGCAGGCTCAGAGGAAGGCCTGAGCAGTTGGTGTGACGCAGGGATACCAAAGAAGGATGCGCCAAACAATAGAATGACCAGTCCTAGAGCTTTACTAAAGAAACTGATAATACAACATGCAGAGTCTCACTGCCTTTACAGATGTGGGACGGATAGTGCAACTGTGAGAGGTCGTCATGACACCCAAGCGTTCAGCCCGGACACTGAGATCCAGCGCTGAGGGCCTTCTGGCGATTCCGTCATTGCGATAATGAAGGTACAGGGAACCAGGCAGAGGGCCTTCTTGGTAGTGGCGTCCGCCCTGTGGAACACCCTCCCATCAGATGTCAAGGAAATGTGCAGCTATCCTATTTTTAAAAGACATCTGAAGGAAGCCCTGTAGTTTTTAATATTTAAAGCTGTATTGTTTTTAACACTCAATTGGGAGCCGCCAGAGTGGCTGAGGAAACTCATCCAGATGGGCGGGGTATGTATAAACAAACAAACAAACAAACAAACAAACAATAAAACATTCACACAGCCTATATGCGCAAAGCAACATAGGCTAGTTTGCCTAGCACCTCCCATCAAACCTGGCTGGCAAGGCCATAGGGGGCAGCTATTGAAAGCTTCCTCTCTCTCTGGACCAGCATCCCACAGCCCACAGATAAGCACAGCATCAAAGCAAGCGAATCGGCATATATCAGAGCAAGTGAATATGAGCATATAGGAGCTCATTCTCTCAAGAATTGCCAATTATTTGGGGGGCCGACTACCAATACGGCATTTGCAGGCCTTCTGGAACATTTCTCCTTTGGTGGTTCAACACAATGCCACACCCATTAACATGGATGTGCCTCACGAGCACAGAGTACACACAAAGCAGACACACAAAGCAGTCTGCTTTCTCAGTTAATGATCAGTTACAGCTCTTTTCTTCTTTACAGAGCTGAGCATCAAAACATAATGTCATCATGGCACTTCCAGATGGGCTAGTTGTCTCAGTGTCCGGCTGTTAACCTGAACTTCCTAGTGCATTAATCCTGTCATTTTTCTAACCATGCAAAACGTCTCCTTAGTGCTCCATAAACTGATTTTATTTTGCCCACTCCCCTGCACTTTTCATGCATCATACTTCAATGTGAGAACACAGGAACTAGGAACATAAGAACAACCTGCTGCATAAGGCCAATGGCCCACCTAGTCCAGCATCTTGCTCTCACATTGGCCAACCAGATGCCGTTAAGATACCCAAAAGCTCTTCCTCTTCCTTCCTGTGGTTTCACAAGCATCACTGCTTCCAACCATCAAGGGAGAGCATAGCCATCATGGCTAGTAACCACTGAATCTTAGCATCATGAAATTGTTGAGCTGGAAGAGACCACGGGGGTCATCAAGTCCAACCCCCTGCAATGCAGGAATCTTTCACCCAACGTGGGGCTTGAACCCACAACCCTAACATTAAGAGTCTCATGCTCTACCAGCTAAGCTGTCCAAGCTCTTGAGAAGAACAAGGGAAGTCAAGCTGAAAGGCAGGTGGGTGGACATCCCTGTCTCCTGTAGTTTAACTTTGAACTGTGTGAAGAAGGTCTTTTATCTGTCCGGAATCTGCCAACTTTCAGTCTCGCTGGGTGTCCACGATTTTTAGTGCTTTGAGACACACACACACACACACACACAGAGAGAGAGAGAGAGAGAGAGAGAGAGATGGTTCTCTACCCACTTTCTCCATGCCACACACAATTCTTGAGCTTCTATCCTGTGAACTCTTTCTCATATTTTCTCTAAACTAAAAAGTCCCTGGTGCTGCAAATTTTCCTCATAGGAGAGTCATTCCACCCCCTTGAACACTTTTGGTTGTCCCTTTCTGAAATGCTTCCATTTACCGTGGAATTCCTTCTTGTTTCTCCGTGCAAATCTAGTTGGTGCCCACCCAACCACCCAGGTCTGCAACTCGAGGACATTCCAATAGCAATAACTGGTACCTGAAATAAGAAAGGTCATCGCCAGCAGTCCTTGCAGCACAACTATTGCAGCTCTCCATCTCAATGCGACACCCTCCATGGTCTGAAGCCGAGAGGCCCTCCAAGCCAAACAACCAATTTCCTGATGAGTCGTGGAGGAAAAGGAAAAGCAGTCTATGATCTGAGAGAGTTGGGCTATTTGGCTTTATTGCGCACAAATGTGCTGGGTAGACATTGACAGGAGAAACTTACCAAGGAGACAGGAGCCGTTCTGGTGAGCTCAGGATTACGCAAAAAGTAAGAAGGTTGTGCAACAGGGGCGGACCCATATTTTCATATTTATATGGAGTCCCATGTGAGCCCCTGAGTGATAGCCAACCAGTTGCGATGGTGCAAAAGGAGACTAGCCTCTCTTGCTCTCCTTGCCCTCTTCTCCCATCCTATTTTCCTCTCCTTTTTCTTCATCTGATGGTTCTCTCCATGGCAGAAAGAAATGAAGAATCACAAAAACAGTCGGGCAGACCTCTAGGGATTCCCACCCTCCTTTCCCTCCCTGCTTCCCCCGTTCTATCTATTTTTCTCAAGCAGAAAGACAAATTCGAAGTGGGGGGAGGGGACTGCCGAAAAGAGCTTGCTGCTACCACTTCCTTCTCCTCTCCCTGGCTCAGTGTCCTGTGCTGGGGAACTGCCCACCCTGGTCTAAATCCAGCTTTGACAACGGACTTCAGCCAACAGACCAGGAAAACAAGAGTTGTTAGAGGCGAAACATTTCTGCCCAGAAAAGTCAAGAAAATGAGCATGCACACAAGTGGTGTTTAGCCATAACGTTGTGTTGGTTGAGGATCAATAAACTTTGTTGGAATCCTTGGGATTCTTTGGGTGCATAGCTTCTGGAAAGCTCAGCTGGTTAGAGCGTGGTGCTGTCAATGCCCAGGTTGCAGGTTTGATCCCCATTTGGGATAGCTGTATATTCCTGGACTAGATGATCCTCAGCGTCCCTTCCAACTGTACCATTCCACAATTCTATGAGAAAGGTGAGTGGCTTGTTCTGGATGGGGACCGCCCTGTCTCTGAAGGAGTAGGTACAATGAGCAATGGATACTCTGCAGTTGGAGCAGTTTTTACACGCCTGTTACATGAACATAGGCCTGTAGTGCTTCAGTTAAAGCATCCAGAACTCCACTGCCAAATTTAATCCAGAAATACATGCTGGACTGTTGTGATTCAGCAAGGGAGGCAGAGGTAAGTATAAAGCAATTGTGGCAACAGAGACTGTGGGATGCCTATCCTGGCTGCTTTACTTACCACCATAAACAGAATGAGCCAAATGCCCTCTAGATAGAAAATGAGTATGATAACCAACTCGGGAAGGCAGCTTGTCAGTATGTTTTAGGTTCTTCTTATTTTCCAGAACTGAATTCTGCTTTGACTTTGAATAAGTGTTAACTAAGGGATCTACAAGAGAGGGACGCGGGTGGTGCTGTGGGTTAAACCACAGAGCCTAGGACTTGCGGATCGGAAGGTTGGCGGTTCGAATCCCCCATGACGGGGTGAGCGCCCGTTGCTCAGTCTCTGCTCCTGCCAACCTAGCAGTTCGAAAGCACATCAACGTGCAAGTAGATAAATAGGTACTGCTCCGGCGGGAAGGTAAACTGCATTTCCATGTGCTGCTCTGGTTCGCCAGAAGCAGCTTAGTCATGCTGGCCACATGACCTGGAAGCTATACGCCGGCTCCCTTGGCCAATAAAGCGAGATGAGCGCCGCAACCTCAGAGTCGGTCACGACTGGACCTAATGGTCAGGGGTCCCTTTACCTTTACCTTTAAGGGATCTACAACTAATAGAATGGATCTACAACTAATAGGAAACACCAATTTCCCGCTTGGTATCTGCTCTTGAGGACAGAGCATTTTCGACCAAACTCTCACTAGTTTCCTTAAGAAATGCCTTTACAGTAGTACCTCAGGTTAAGTACTTAATACATTCCGGAGGTCCGTTCTTAACCTGAAACTGTTCTTAACCTGAAGCACCACTTTAGCTAATGGCGCCTCCTGCTGCTGCTGTGCCGCCGGAGCACGATTTCTGTTCTCATCCTAAAGCAAAGTTCTTAATCTGAGGTACTATTTCTGGGTTAGCGGAGTCTGTAACCTGAAGCGTATGTAACCTGAAGGGTATGTAACCCAAGGTACCACTGTATTGAGCTGCATTTCCAAGTGATATCCACCACACAAACAAACAATATTATTAGTAGTATTATTTATTGATTTTATATACCGCCCTATACCCGGAGGTCTCACGGCGGTTCACAGAAAAGATCAACATAAAAACCGCAACATATATAATCAAAATAAAAACAACAACCCAATAACACCTCCCCCCCCCCCAAAGAGCCACATTTTAAAATGGCATAGGATGTCAATCAGAACAACCAAAGGCCTGGTTAAAAAGGAACGTTTTTGCCTGGTGTAGAATGAAGGCGCCAGGCAAATTTCCCTGGGGAGAGCATTCCACAGATGGGGAGCCACTGCAGCGAAGGCCCGTTCTCGTGTTGCCACCCTCTGGACATCTCGAGGAGCAGACACACGAAGAAGGGCCTCGGAAGATGATCTCAGGATCCTGGTGGTTTCATATGGAAAGAGGCAGTCCTTGAGGGGTTGGCACAGGTGTTGCAGGTCACTGAAGCAGCTCGCTCACCCTCTATGTCCCTTGGTCCTATGAACACCGTGAGACAGCAGCCCAGCCCCTGCTCAAACTATCCTGCTAAACACCTTCGAAACACATTCATTTGTGAGGCCTGTTTGTGAACACTTGGTTGAGAACTCCCAGTAGCAGCAAATGAGCATAGATACACAGAAAATAGTAGCTCTCGCTTAGGGTTTGCCATATTTCAAAAAACTGTAATTCCAGACACAAAAGCTTCATTTATTTATTTATTTTTGAAAAATCTAAAAATAAAAATTTGATTTTCAGCTATTTTTAATGCAATTTGCCAAAATCCACTCTCATACATGCAGATTTTCCCAGGCATTCCAACGCTTTCTGCCCAGACACTGGTTTACAAGGGCCAAATACCGGCTGTGTCTGGGAAATTAGAAGGGTGTGGGGCTATGAGTATCCATAGCTGTGTGACTATAACTACTGAGTGAAAACTAGAGCTGTCCCTATTTAATCATGCTGCAAATAGGGATGTTCTGTCACTTTCAGTTTTCTCCGCTCCCCATTTATCTATGATTAAATTCAGCTCTCCTTTTATTTTTAAATTCAGCCAGCCTTTTATTTCAGGGGCTGGTGATCCTAGGCCAGAGACCTCTCTATTTATTCCTTATGACTCTCCCCAGACTACACACATCACCAGCCCTGCTTCAAATCCTCCTTTGTGGAATCTACACACATATTAAAAAATGCTGTGAAAATACTTGTTTAAAAAAAGGTTTTGGAAAAAAATACATCAAATTTTCCATAGCTCACCATCACCATCTAGTGTCAAATTTCTTTACTGCACTTTACAACACACTTTTTCTTTGTAGCTGTATAGCTGAGCCCCTTGTCTGTTTTCGCCTGGCTGGAATGTGTCCCTGGACTGTGTTGGGTAAGTAGGAACAGCTGGGACATATGCTTCCCTCTTGGAAGCACACCCAACCTGAGAAATAAACAGCAAACTTGAGAAATAAACTTGCATTACAAAACATCCATTGTGTAACTTGGGCAACCTGACATCTCAGCCAGCTGGCCCTGTCTTAATCAAATTATGGCTTCTGATTGATGGCTTCTGGTTTGGAGCGGAAGATTCTGCAGACGTTGCTGGCAAAGCGACACTGATCTTGCACCGTGACCTAGCTGAGCGGGACAGAGTTGGGGGACCCCTCCTGCTGCCCAGAACTGTATTCCTTAGAAGGCAGTCTGGGGAGGGATTTATACCAGTGGTGGGTGGAGCCAGAGGCAAAGAAGTGGGAGGAGCAAGGAGTGTGAGCTACATTCCAGTTGTGCAAAAGTCATTCAGTCTCCACATCCATGTATTCACACATCTCCACCCTTCCTCCAGAAAAACAAGAGGCATTTCATAGTTCAAGTGTACATGTCATTCCTGCAAAATCACTTGAGGAGGGTGCGAGTCAAGAACAGCGAGGGCTGCAACCTGAGGATAAGGAGTACAGACTTTGGAAAGTCCTGGGGGCCACATAGAGACATTTGGTGGGCCGCATTCAGCCACCAGGCCTGAGGTGGCTCATGTCTGTAGTGGAGCAATACTTGTCTTGCCTAAAATCACTGCTGAACAGAGTCTCCAAAGGCTGCTTCTATCATTGTAAACCCCACTTGGTGAGTAAACATTTTGTCCCTCTTGTGGAGTTTTATTTGCCAGGCATTTGCAATTGTTTCATCACATTTGTTCTACTTAACAACATTAGATTATTCTTGTCTCTCAGTCTTACTCCTGTTTCAAGAATATGATGTAGTTTTTATTGCATTGTGTTGAGTGAATAGTGGATTTTTCAAGGAAGAAAGGAAGGAAGAATTCAAGGGTCATCTTCCATGTGTTACCTTTGCTCTCTAGTTGTAGGAACATGGAATCACAGAACTGTAGAATAGATTACCATTGTTGGAATGTGTTATGTACTGAAGTTCTCACCCTGGGCCAGCAGGGGGATGCTGTAGATAGTTATGCAAATGAAGGATCGAAAAGTGACGTTCAGTGATTGGATAGTTTGTATGCAAATGAAGGATCGAAAAGTGACGTTCAGTGATTGGATAGTTTTAGAAAATGGCAACAGTTACATTGTTCTGGAGCTCTATATAAGCAGGCTGACTGAGCTCCTCAGTTAGTTCTGTTCCAACTTACAAATAAAGAGCTGCTTTGGAAGAATTGCTGTGTCATCTGATATGTTCGCTTATAAAGGGCATCGTAACAAATAGTGTTGAATGTCCTCCATGTATCACGACTCACAGATGCAGAGCCTTTGGTACACAGGGTATTCCCATTAGATATGCAGAGGGCGTACAATGAAGCATGAGATTAATAAAGTACTCCTCCAGCCCAAAAGATGTTTTATATATCCTAGCATATATTAATTTCTAGGGTTTAGGGATCCCCCCAATCAATAACATTATTATATTGAATATGTAGTTTATGAGTTGTCTCCAATGCCAGTCCTATGGAGAGTGAGACCCATTGAAGTCAATGGGCATGGCTAACTTGGGTGCATTGATTTCAGTGGTTCTGCTCTGAGTAGCGCTTAGTTGAGTATCATTAGGGTTGCCATACATCCAGCAACAGTCGGCAGCAGTGTCTTGTTGGAAATAGGCAAAATGTTTGGGAAAATCCAGGTGTATGGCAGCCCATGTTGGCAGTGCTGTTTTTGCAAATTAGCCATAAGATTGGCTCCAAAAGTCTGGATTTTCACCATTTGAAATATGACAACCCTAGCTATAGCCCTTAGTATTTTGCCATCACAGCCCTAACTTCCTTCCTTCCTTCCTTCCTTCATTCCTTCCTTCCTGCTCCACAACACAGCCCTTCCATACTGAAATGCAGGTTTCAGCAGTTCAGGTACTCCCCAATCCTCTTCTCACCCCCATATCCCAAGGATGGTGGTTCCCAGGACTGCCAGGAGAGGGCAAAGTTGAGGGCTGAGCCCTTGGAACCCTGACTCCAGGGTGACAGGCTCTTTTGCACGTCCAAGGTTAACATCCTCATCCTGATCAGTAAAGAGGTTTGGCATGGCAGTGCTTCTCATATTGTATGAAAAGCCATCATCCTTCCAATTGCATTTGCTGCCGGAGCAGCAAGGCCCCGACTCACTGGTGATATTTATAGGGCCGAAGGACTGGCTCTTTAGAACATCGCAGGCTGAGCGCTGGCAGGTCCTGAGAATCATGCGCATGGAGCTGAATGCTGTTGTGGAAGAGAAGGGAGGACAAGAAAGACACAACATGTTAGGTATGGGGGAATGTTGGCCCACTTCTCCCAGCATGAATTGAGATGCCACAGGGAATTGTGAAGTACATGGAGCCTGAGGGCGTAACCCACACCCATGAGTTATTAGGAGGCAGGGCCCCCACACCTCTGGAAAAGAGGCCTGTTTTGCTTCAGAGTGGCATTTTTGAGGCGAAATGTTTGTGTGAGTAAGTTAAATTACTCCAGGAGGCAGATTCTGACATCGTAGGTGGTTGGACTAGATGTCCCTTGGTGTCCCTTCCAATTCTACAATTCTATGTTCTATGATTCTATAATGTTTGGCTTTAAGAAGTATCTTAATTGTTTATTTTAACAGCGCAATATATTTTATTCTGTTTTCATTCTGCTTTGTGTTTTTTATCTGTCACATTTGAACCTGAGTAAGATGCATTTATTTCATTTAGAAAAAGCTTGTCACATCCCATTTTTCAGTGTGCCCAAATCCTCAAAGCAGCTTGCTGCAGATTTATTATGATTATTATTATAATAATAATAATAATAAAAAGATGGTACATTTAAGACATCATCTCACCAAAAGGCCCCTTGCAATTACCCTAAAAAGGGAATAAATCAGCATAAATAGAGAGGGAGCCACAGTGAAGCAGTAATTCAGGTTTCACCAACTTGCGGCTGTCCATATGTCATGGACTCCAACTCCCATCAGCCCAGCCAACTTCTAGAGGGCACCAGGGCTGGCAAAGGCTGCTGTAAAGAAAGCAGTCTTCAAGTAAGACGTGGGCAGCAGTGTTTGAATTTAGCCAGGCACATTTTGCACCTGCTATCGGCTACCTGTGACCAAGTGTCAGGATGACACCTAACATCTCCACCATCTGGAGGTCCCAGCCTGGGGATCACCGAATCTTGACTGTTTTCACACACTAATACCATATCCTGTAGTATTCTATCTGTTATATTTTGATCTGCACAATCGGAATGAATTTCAGGAACCAAAATGCTTTTTCAGGAGCAGGAGCAGCGAACAACGTTCTAGCTAATTGTTTTTGCTTGTCTTCACTTTCCTCACCCCACTGCCCTGCTCACAGTTGTTAAGAATATTCTTACGTTATGAATGGTCCATGTCGCCATTAAGAAAAAGAGGTAGGAATAGGACAATGTATATGTGGACTTTCCCTGGATGAAGAAATTTTTCTTCTTTGAGAACTTAAAGTTCTTAACCTAGCTCAAGGTGGCCATCTGAACTGGCCAGGGGTTTAACTGAGAATCAATCATAGTCAGTCCGTCATTTGGAAAATAAGACTTTAGAGCAAGTAGACATTCTGTTTTGGCGACTGTCACCTTGGTTTAAGGAGCCATTGACACTTTGATTATATATCAAAGTTTCTAACACGTGGGCAGGTGAAATTGTTTTGACCTTCTGCCTAAAACATAAGTGCATTCCATAGCCAATTTACCATCATGGAGAAGGAAGGCCTTGTTTCTGGCCACCAACCATCACTTCTTGAATTAAAGCACAAACACAGCTTTTAAATAATATTTTTAGAAGGGAAGCAGGGCATGGTATGGTAAAATTAGAGGTCAAGAGTGAAGCAACTTTATCCCATAATCTGAGCATTGGACCCACCTAATCTCCAAGGGAAGAGGGGTGTTGAACAGTTGATGCCAAAGTATGCTTCCTAACAAGTCCTAGCCTTCCGCAACCACCAGGTTCTGATGGTGGAAGTGAGCCCAGTTTGCGGGGAGGGGGAGTATTTCGGAGGGCAGGAGCTGTGGAAGAAATTTCCTAAGCAAACTCACCTCCTCCACCTGTTTCAACAGTAATGTTCATGCTGCCTTGGTAACACCGGTCGTAGTCTTTGCTGCATTTCATAGTCTCCTTGATGCCCCAACTGCTGCCCCAACCAAATCCCGAGTAACACTGGTTGGAGCCTGTTACTGGAGTAAGAAATCAAAATGAAGAGCTGTAGTGGGTCTGAATTGAAAAAGGCCACTCCCCTTTGTAGGAGTCTCTCCCTATTCCCTGTCTCTTAAATAATGATAGGGGGAGAATATTTTGATTTGCTTTGCATATCAAAGTGAAGCTACTTAATTTGCCCTTTTCAAAGCAATGGGTATCTTAATCGTACTCAGAGTAAACCCACCGAAGTGAATTGGTATGCGTTTATGTGGATGCATTAAGTGAAGTGTTATCCTTCAAAATCCACACTTTCCTGAATTTTGTGAGGCAGTTCTCAAACTTATAGGTGTGTGCAATTTTTGCACATATTAGGAGCTGATGCCCCTGCTTTCTCTACTTGCCAAACCCACCAAACCCTTTGCCAAACCCCACACCTGAACAAGTACCTCCCCTTTACCCTCACTCACCCCTCGCCTATATCCCCCAGCTCACACAACCCTGCAGTGCACCCTATATTCCCACTCCCCTCATAGGTCCCTTCAAATCTTTCCTCATGTTCTCGCTGCTAAATTACACCCTAAAGCACACAGTCTTGTACATTTCTTGGGAAGCAGGGTTACCTTTTCTATAGCACGTAAGCCCAAGAGTTGGGGAACAGGGCCGCTTGCCTTAGTAAAGATAAAGGGACCCCTGACCATTAGGTCCAGTCGTGACCGACTCTGGGGTTGCGCGCTCATCTAGCTCTATAGGCCGAGGGAGCTGGCGTTTGTCTGCAGACAGTTCTGGGTCATGTGGCCAGCATGACTAAGCCGCTTCTGGAGAACCAGAGCAGCACATGGAAACGCCGTTTACCTTCCCACTGGAGCGGTACCTGTTTATCTACTTGCACTTTGACGTGCTTTCGAACTGCTAGGTTGGCAGGAGCAGGGACCCAGCAACAGGAGCTCCACCCCGTCGCAAGGATTCGAACCGCCTACCTTCTGATCGGCAAGTCCTAGGCTCCGTGGTTTAACCCACAGCGCCACCTGAGTCCCTAGCCACTTGCCTTAGAAATCTCCAAAATTGAACACAGTGGTATCTCTGGTTAAGAACTTAATTTGTTCCGGAGGTCCGTTATTAAGCTGAAACCTTAGCTAATGGGGCCTCCCGCTGCCGCCGTGCTGCTGCTGCACAATTTCTGTTCTCATCATGAGGTAAAGTTCGTAACACGAGGTACTACATTCGGGTTAGCGGAGTCTGTAACCTGAAGGGTCTGTAACCCAAGGTACCACTGTACTTCAAGGCAGCCTCCCTATTGACCACCTCCTGCCAAACAAGTGAAACTGTGAGTTCTCATTTAATGGTCAGGTGGCCTATTAAAAAAATACCTCTGTCCTCTATAGGGGTCTTGAGAACTTCCCTCATTTCCATTTTCGCATTGCAAAGGTCATCAAAACAGTAGCTCTCGTCAAACTGGATGGTAAAGTGTTATCTTCAAGCCTCCCTATCGACAACCACCCGCCCAACAAGTGAAACTGTGAGTTCACACTTTCCTCTCTGGTGGCCCTCTACACCCCCCCAAAAAATACCTTTGTCCTTGATAGAGGTCTTGAGAACTTTTCTCGTTTTCGCATTGCAAAGGTCACCGAAACAGTAGCTCTGGTCGAATTGGATGGCAAAGTGTCGGTCACCAGAGGTGACTGATTTTGTTCCATCCATAAGGTCTTTGCTGGCGCAGCCTTTGTAGCTCATTATCAAAACCTCTTTATCTAAAAGGCGGGGGAGGGGGAGAGATGTATAAATACAAACAATAGATTGATGCTGTGGCAGGGTGTTCCAAAGACCTTACTTTCACAATTTTTGCTCTGCGGCTGATTTATTTTGGTGGGGTTAGGGTTGCCATATTTCAAAAACTGAAAATCTGGACACAAAAGTTTCTGTTTTTGGCCAAAGTTGTTAAGCCTTTTTGTTTTGCCCAAAGTTGTTGATGCCCGGATACAGTTGTACCTTGTTTTGTGGCCGGGATCCGTTCTGGAGCCCCGGCTGGTAGTCGAAAAGGATGCAGGGCAAAGCACCGTGTTTGCACACAGACGTGGAGTGGTTTGCACTTCTGTGCATGCACGAAGCACGATTTAGTGTGTCTGTGCATGCGCGAGAAGCAAACTCAGAAGTAACCCATTCTGGTACTTCCGGGTTTGCCGCGGACATTCGCCGGAATGGATGCTGGACAAGGCGGACGTTCATGGAGGTATTGCTGTATTCCAGTGATTTCTACCCAGACACTGTTTGCGACGGCCGAATTCCAGGAATGCCTGGAAAATTCCAGATGTATGGGCAACTCAATGCAGGGTGGGGTAGCTGCCAATCCCCCCTTCCCCTCCCACTGGTTCATGTCTAGCTTGGTGCCATGGGTGGGGGTGATTTTGGTCATGTGAGTGCCCCTAGAACATGCTGATAGTTCTTCCCACTTCCTACTTCTTCCTATTTCCTCATGACACACTTCCTGGCAGCTGTTTACCTCAAAAGCCTTATACAGCTGAATTGGAAACCAGCCCAAGAATGTGATCAAGCATCTGTGGGCCACCTGTCTGTCCTGTGACGCAAGGGGCAGAAGGAATACTGGATGGTGCAATGGGTGTGGCTCTTCCCATAGAACGGCAGCCTGCATTCTACCCATGCAAAATCCAGAGCTTTTCTACACTCTCACATCTCCAAATCCTCCTCTGAGGCAAGTAAGATGCATATTCATTTCAAGCATGCAGAACACAAGGAAGGGCTGGAGCCAGAATGGCGCTTTCCCAGAGGAGTAAAGAAAATGCTGAACCAACTTAGGAAGAGTGGCTGATTAAATTGATGGATTATACTGAAATGGCAAAAGTGATGGGTGTAATAAGAAACTGGGGGGGGGGGTTAAAGAAAAGGGGAAATTTGTAGAATATCTGAAAAGTTCTGGCATGCTAATAACTTCATTAGTAGGATTAACTTAAATATTACTAAGATAAATGAAAGAATAACTTTAAAATGGAGTAAAGTGGAACATGCAGTGTTAAAGCTAAAGTAGAAAAGGAACCACAAAAGGGGTTGGGGAAAATAATATATGTGTTTGTAAGGTGTGTATTTGTAATCTTGTGAAAACTGAAAATAAAGTTTATATATAAAAAAAGAACACAATGGAAGTCTACACCAGCCTCCCTTATCCTTTTCTTTTCTTTTCTTTTCTTTGTGCCCAGGAACTGTGGTTTATTCTAATAAACGCGGACAGTGGTTTTCAACTAGTGTGCAGTGGCACCCTGGGGTGCCTTGAATGATGGTCAGGGATGCCATGGACAACATTGGCCTCTGTCCTTCTTTCTTTCCTTCCCTCCCTCCTCTGATGTGCCCTCTCTCGTCTCTGCCTCCCAAAGGCTTGCACAGCTGTTCGTTGCAGCAGCCCTGGCTATAAGCTCCCCAGATGGATGGTGCCTCAGGGGCTGGCCAGGTAGTGCTTGTTGCCAGGAGCTGAGACGGCCACGGAGTAAGCAAGCAAGTAGGTGAGGAAGCCCAGCCAGTCTACCAGCCCTTGCTGCTGAGAGTGGACAGACTAGTGGGAGGCCAGACAGCCAGGCGCCACACTGGCCTTTCTTGTGCTTGCTGTGTACAAAGCTTGCCTGGGAGCTAAGTGCCTGTTGCTGTCACTGCAGCCTCCCAAGGTAAGGTGCTGTCCTCACGTTCGCCTTTGGCCAAGTCTCCGTTGGGCCACTAAGGCTGGAGGTATCCTCTTCCCAGGCCCCTGTGGGGCAGTGTGAGAAGGCAACTCTCTTTGGAGTGGGAGGGAGCGACTCAGACATCAGCGGCTACCAGAAGCAGGGGCGAAGGAAGGCATCGTGACACCTGAGGCAGGGCGTTGCTACATAGGGCGCATATGCGACATAGCTATGTATGACACCGTAGCGACGCTGCACATGCGTTGTAGATAGCGGTTTGCCGGCGATGGTTCTCCAGCGCCGTATGGACAGTGCTGGGATGCTCTGCTCGTGGCTGCAGCTGCGAACGGAGGATTGCTTGCATGTGGCTGTAGCGGCGAGGAAGGGTTCCCACCACTGTCCGTAAGGCGATGGAGAAGCGCCAGCGGCAAACCACTTTGTACAGCGCATGTGCGGCATCGCTACGTACAGCGCATGCGGTGTATGTAGCGATGCTGCACATGCGCTGTACAAAGTAAAACAAAAACAAAAAAAACCCCAACATGTGCAAATAGAAAATAAAATGAATCAAAACACATTTTAAATACCTCAATTCTGAATGCATGCAAAGCATCATTTCAGGCCCCAGGTAATCCCGCTGGGAATTTTAGGGATTGCAAGTAATTTCATGCTTTTCCTCTCTCAAAAATCTTGCAGCCACACAGGATTCATCTGACCGAGCAGCACTTACCAATAGTCAATGTAAGTTGTGCATCTGTGCAAACATTTTCAGCATGGGAGCAGTTTCTAATGCCACGTCCTGTGTAAGTATTTGACGTGGTGTTGCCCTTGCGTGGAGTGGTAAGTTTCACGGTGCTGGAGCTATGACACTTCAAGGCAGAAATTCCTGAAAAGAAGTGTGGGGAGAAAGGGTATGAGATGCTGGAGAATCTATTAGCAATGTCTTTCTGCCTTGAAATCATCAGGGACTAGAAATAGGTTTCCCCCTTTTAAAATGAAAGCAGAAGTTCTTAGGAGGCAAAGATTTGCGCCAAATCCATGTTCTGACCCGCAGGCCCAAAGGAAGGGCCTGAGTGAGTGGTTTAATATGTGGATACGAAAGACGGATGTCAAAAAGGCCAGTCCTAGAGCTTTATTAAATGATAGAGTTGGATGGGACCACGAGGAGCATCTAGTCCAATGCCAGATATTGGATTCCAACTCGCACCAACAACAGTCAGATGTAAACTTACAAAAGAGAACAATGACAACCAAATTATAGGTATTAGCCCCAACCCCAACAAGGTATTGTAGTTAAAACTTAACCTAATACTTTATTTATAAAAATGAAAAATAAAGTTTTCTACCTGGGTATTCTTTCTTTTCGTCTCTTCTTCTGTTTTGTGTCTTATCTTACTCTGTGCACTTGTAATTATGCACTTTTTATCTTTTAATGAAGAATATAGAGAATAATAATGGGAAAAACCTACAGCACAGTGTAGGTTTGAAAGTAAAGTTTGAACCAAAACTATATATGGGTGGAGGCAGTCAGCTCCATGGGAGCACACTTCACAGTTCCTGGTCTGAATGCTTTTACTGCCTTTGCTTAGAGGCAGGATACAGATTCTTGGCTGACAGCTGTCACTCAGAAGAAAGAGCTGAAACATCTCCTCCCCACTTCTCCCTCTTCAGCGGGAGGGGAGCAGAAGGCTCAGGTCTTCTTCATTTCCTGTTTCTCCCTGGGTAGGTTTTCCCACAACTTTAAAAACACTACATTAGGCTGCTTAGCCATTGCCTCTCTACTGAGTGCCAGCATGAAGCAAATCAAACCATATTCATTTTCCGGGAAAGCTCCTGGGGGACGTGACTACGCCTTCTCTTTACTTGATGCAGCCCAGACCTTCTCCTCCTCGCAGACAGGGCTAAACCCACGTCACAGAGAAACTCCTCCCCACTAGCACTCACAAAACAGACGGGGGACCCACCCACTGGGGTGGGAATGCTCGTGAAAGCTTTGTACGCATCGCAAGAGAAATGCAGATTTCAGCAAAGACAGGAACAGCCAGTCCACCTCGGCCGCTGGGTCCCTTCTCCCACAGGTAGAGAACCCACATCATAGAGACACTCCTCCCAACCAGCAGCCCCAAAAATGTGACTTAAGCAAGTCATACGACGTTCACTATCTAGGAAACATCCGGAGTAGGGTATGTAGTAGTAGTATGTCCTCTTTTTCCTTGAAATTTCTGTCTGGGAGGATTTTTAAATGTCCAGGTTTCTGTTTGTTACTTTGTTACTTTGTTTACATTAATCTAAGAAAAAATTCTAGTGTATTAGACTCAGATCTAAGGCCCCCCGGCTAAGTGAGCTGCAGCTTAAACTGGCTACATACGATATCATTCATTTTTCTTGTTGCTGAACTAAAAGGATGCTGGCTCAACTACAAGATCTTGAAGAAGGAGTCTGGAAGGGCAAGAGTTAACATCCCTCTGCCCTTAAGGAGAGTCCTTATGTACATGTTAAATGCAGGAATCCTTTGCCCAACATGGGGCTCAAACCCATGACCCTGAGATTAAGCTTCTCATGCTCTACCACCCCCTTGAACCCTTTTGGTTGCCCCTTTCTGAACTTTTTCCATACACCTTAGGATTCTTTCTTGTTTTTCTGTGCAAATCTAGTTGGCTCCCACCCAACCACCCAGGTCTGCAACTAGAGGACATCCCAATAGCAATAACTGGTACCTGAAATAAGAAAGATCATCGCCAGCAGTCCTTGCAGCACAACTGTTGCAGCTCCCCATCTCAACGCGACACCCTCCATGGTCTGAAAGCGACAAGTTTCCTGATGAGTCATGGAGGAAAAGGTAAAGCAGTCTATTATCTGAGAGAGTTGGTCTGTTTGGTTATATGTATATCGTGCACAAACATGCTAGCTAGAGAATAACAGGAGGGGCTTCCTGAAATACGAGAGCAGTTCTGGTGAGGACAGGATTACATAAAGAAGTAGGCAGCTGTCCAACAGGGGCGGACCCATATTTTCATATTTATATGGAGTCCCTGAGTGATGGCCAACCAGCTGCGCTGGTGCAAACGAAGGCTGGCCTCTCTTGCTCTCCTCGCCCTCTTCTCCCATCCTATCTTCCTCTCCTTTTTCTTCGTCTGATGTTCACTCCATGGCTGAATCACAAAGACAGTCGGGTGGATGTCTAGGGGTTCCCACCCTCCTTTCCCCTTTCTATTTTTCTCAAGCAGAAAGACAAATTCATAGCTTCAGAAATCCTCCCCTCTCTTTCCCCCAAACTGGAGAAAAGCAGTGGACTTAAAAAATAAAATAAAAATAAAATTCTAATGCAAAGCAATTTCCTTCAGCTTCCAGTCTCCAAACCTGCCTGGAGGAGATGCTTTTAGGATTTCCAGTTCCTTTTGCCCATTTCGTCCGTTTTCAGACAAATCTCGCTGTGAACTGTAAGGTGGAGGATGGGGGGAACTGTCAAAAACAGATTGCTGATCAAAACCTCCCTTACCTCTCCCTGGCTCAGCGCCCTGTGCTGGGGAACCGCCCACCAGGCCTAAATCCAGCTTTGACAATGGACTTCAACAGACTATGAAAACAGGACTTGCTAGAGGCGAAACGTTTCTGCCCAGAAAAGTGAAGAAAATCTGCATGCCCACAGCTGGTATTAAGATATAACTGTGTTGGCTTTTGGGTGCATAGCTTCTGGATAGCTCAGCTGGTTAGAGTTTGGTGCTGTCAGGGACGGTGGAATGAGCCCTCCGCGGGGTGCCTTTTTGTCACCCCCTCAGAAATGGCACCCAGGGCAGCCCGCCCTATTCCTCTGCCACTGCTCTCAGCCTCTCCGGTGGACGATCACAGCATCAGAGAAAGGCAGCACTGCTGCCTCTCCCAGGCTTCCTCCCCCTGGGTCTGCTGCTGTCGCCCATGCGCCAAAGCCCAGCCCCAAAGTCCAGCCCAGACGCGGCTTCCCTTGATGGGAACTATAGGTGGGGGCACAAAAATATGTGCCTGGGGCAATGGCCCCAACAGCCCCCCTCCTGTTACGCCATTGTGTCCAGTGTCTGCAAACAGCAGATCATAGACACCAACTCCTAGAGGCCGAGGTATATTTGTCGCCCTCCGTATCATATTTGAGGGGGCTGGTGGCTCCCAAAGTTGATGGGCTTAAAAGAGAAGACTTATTTGCCACATAAACAGCACGAGCCAAATGCCCTCTGGATAGAAAATGAGTATGATAACCAACTCTGGAAAGCAGCTTGTCAATATGTTTTAGGTTCTTCTTATTTTCCAGAACTGAGTTCTGCTTTGACTTTGAATAAGTGTCAACTAAGGGATTGGCTCTTCTGGATAGAATCCAGAATGGACCAAGGAAGGTTATTTTTTTTAGGCAATATAAAATTAGGAAATGCGTAAGAAAGAATCAAAACGGAGGATTCTCAGAAAAGCTGAGGGAAGTCCAAAAAAAAAATGTATCTGTGAAAAATATGTGTTTTTTTTTTAATATAATTTTGTATTGTAAAATTAATAAAAATATTTATAAAAAAACAGAATCCAGAATGGACCTACAACTAATAGGAAACACCCCCCTTGGTATCTGGTCTTGAGAACAGAGCATTTTAGACCAAACTCTCACTAGTTTCCTTAAGAAATGCCTTTATTGAGCTGCATTTCCACAACACAAACAAACAATATTATTATTATTATTATTATTATTATTATTATTATTATTATTATTAATTGAATTTATATACCACCGTATAGCCGGAGGTCTCAGGGAGTTTCACAGAAAAGATCAACATAAAAACTGCAATATATATAATCAAAATAAAAACAACAACCCAATAACACCCCCCCCCCCCAGAAAAGAGCCACATTTTAAAAGGGCATAGGATGTCAATCAGAACAACCAAAGTCCTGGTTAAAAAGGTGTGATTTTGCCTGGTGCCTAAGGGTGTATAAGGAAGGCACCAGGGGAGAGCATTCCACAGATGGGGAGCCACTGCAGAGAAGGCCCGTTCTCGTGTTGCCACCCTCTGGATCTCTCGAGGAGCAGACACACGAAGGAGGGCCTCGGAAGATGATCTCAGGATCCCGGTAGGTTCACATGGAAAGAGGCGGTCCTTGAGGGGTTGGCACAGGTGTTGCAGGTCACTGAAGCAGCTCCCTCACCCTGCATGTCTCTTGGTCATATGAACACTGTAAGACAGCCCCCCCAGCCGCCCCAACTTCCATGCACTCTCACAACACTCTCACAAACACCCTTGTCTTGGTCGTGAACTCCCAGAAGCAGCAATGAGCATGGATCCACAGAAAATAGCAGCTCTAGCTTAGGGTTGCCATATTGAAAAACTGAAATTCCAGACACAAAAACTTTTTCTTTTTTCACCTTTTTTTGCAAATTCTAAAAATCTAAATTTGATTTTCTGCTATTTTTAATGAAATTCGCCAAAATCTAATGCCATACATCTGGATTTTCCCAGACATTCCAACATTTTCTGCCCAGACACTGTTTATGAGGGCCAAATACCGGCTATGTCCGGGAAATTAGACGGGGGTGTGGCTATGGGGGGGTCCATAGCTGTGTGACTATCACTACTGAGGGATAAAGACAGAGCATTTCTATGCACAGCTGTCCCTATTTAATCATGCTGCAAATAGGGATAATCTGTCACTTTTAGTTTTCTCCGTTCCCCATTTATCTATGGTTAATTTTTTTAATTTTTAATTTTATTTTAAAATGCTTTATGAATTTTACAAATAAAAAAGACAATCAACAACAGTCCAAAAAAGTCAGAACAGAGAGAAGAATAAACAAAGAGATTAAAAGGAAAAAGGAAAAACTATTTGCCAAGCGGTGGCAAGAGCCCATGGGGTTCCAGGCACTGACTCAGAGTCTGTGTTTCTTTGGAGAATTGAGACATGGCGGAGACTCGTAGCTTTAATAAATATTCTTAATTCACCTATTTACACCTTAAATCTGCATGGAGGGAGTCCACATCTTACAGAAGAGTCCTTTCAAGAGGAAGTCCAAGGCATCTCTCTTCGCCAGCCTTTAGCCAGCCTGCCCAAGATGGATGCCAGTCCTTCTTCCTTCTTCTTATTCCCAGCAGCATTTGCTCAAAACTCTCTTTTCCTGTCACCTTACACCTGGTTCCCCTGACAACCTTCCAAACCCCCCAGTCTCTATTCACACCTCAGGGCAGGGGGGGAAGGATGGTTCTCTTGCGATGACAATGGCCCTCTAGAGACCCCCTTTGTTCCTTAATGGCCCTAGCTTGGCCAGGTCATTTTGCATAGGCTAGTCCAGGAATTCCTATGCAGCTTCAATTCTCCCTTCATATCCCAAATAATCAACATCCTAGCATTTATTAATTTCTAGGGTTTAGGGGTCCCCCAAAATCTATAACAATATTATTATACTGAATATGTAGTTTATGAGTTGTCTCCAATGCCAGTCCTATGGAGAGTAGTCCCATTGAAGTTAATGGGCATGGCTATTAACTTCAGCTATACCAGAAGGAGCGTCTCCACCCCCATCGTTCTGCCCGGACACTGAGGTCCAGTGCCGAGGGCCTTCTGGCGGTTCCCTCACTGCGAGAAGTGAGGTTACAGGGAACCAGGCAGAGGGCATTCTCGGTAGTGGCGCCTGTGGAACACCCTCCCATCAGATGTCAAGAAAATAAAGATCTACCTGACTTTTAGAAGACATCTGAAGGCAGCCCTGTTTAGGGAAGTTTTTAATGTTTAAGTTTTATTCTGTTCTGCTGAAAGCCACCCTTAGTGGCTAGGGAAACCCAGTCAGATGGGCAGGATAGAAATAATATATTATTATTATTATTGATTTGAGTGGATCTGCTCTGAGTAGAACCTGGTTGGGTATAGCCAGCCGTATTTTGCCATCATAGCCAAAATCTGTGGGGTCGTGGGAAGCAAACAAATTGCTTGGTTTTGGGAGGGAGAATCAGACCCCAAGGCGGTGGTTATCCAAATAAAATTTTTATTTTATAGATATGAGCCATACATGCTATTGGTTGGGACAGGTCACTGTCTTGGAACCCCAACTCCCCAGCTTCCTTCCTTCCTTCACCACAACACAGCCCTTCCAAACCCAAATGCATGTTCCAGCAGTTCACGTGCTCCCAAACCCCCTTCCTCACCCCCATATCCCGAGGATGGTGGTTCCCAGGACTGCCAGTAAAGGGCAAAGTTGAAGGCAGAGCCCTTGGAAACCTGACCCATAATGATCATAAGACAGGTATGGGTTGGTGGTGCTCCTCACACCATAATTGGTTGGGTTGATTATCTTGCCATTGCAATTGCTGCTGGAGCAACAAGACCCCGACTTGCTGGTGATACTTATGGGGCCAAAGATTTGGCTTTTTATAGCATCGCAGGCTGGGCGCTGGCAGGTCCTGAAGATCATGGGCGTTAAGAAGGTTGCTGTTGTCGGAAGGGAAGGGAAGGGAAGGGAAGGGAAGAAAGGCAAAAAACATTAGGCATGAGGGGTGTTGCCCCTCTTTTCCCAGCATGCAGTGGGACGCCACAAGGAATTGTGAAGAACATGGAGCCTGAGGGGTAAACCAAACCCATGAGTACTTAGGGGGCAGACCCCCCTACACGTCTGAAAAAGCTGCTTGTTTTGTTTTAGAGTGGCAATTTTGAGGGGGGAAATCTGTTAAATTCTTCCGGGGAGCAAACTCTTAACTGACATAGCGTTTGGTCTTAAGAACTATTTTAATTATTTATTTTAACTGTGTCGTGTATCCTATTCTCTTTTATGTCTTTTATCTTCTGTAATGACTCTGGCCACACACACATAAATCATATTTGAATAGGTTGGGATGTTGAACTGTTAATGGCAAAGCATGCTTCCCAACAAGTCCTGTCTACCCACAACCACCAATAAAGACCAGCAGGGGGCAAAATGTTTTGTAGGCCAGGAGCAGCTGTGGAATAAATTGGCTAGGAAGAACTCACCTACTGAAATGTTGTAGGTGCCACTGTAACACTGGTTGTAGCCCTTGCTGCATGTCACAATCCGATGGACGGTATCATCAAGGCCCCAATCAAAGCCTGAGTGACACTGGTTGGAGCTGCTTCCTTCAGCTGCTGCAATAAGAAATCAAAATGAAGAGCAAGGGGCCTGTTGAGCATCACTCACCCCATTAAGCTGCTAAAGTGGGGCTGGGTTGAAAAGGGTGGCTCCCCTTTATAGGAGGCTCCCCCATTATTCTGTGTCTTCAGTAATGATTGGGGGGTGATCTTTCGGTTTGCTTTGCATATCAAAGTGAACCTACTTAATTTGCCCTTTTCAAAGCAGTCAGTACTTTAATTGTACTCAGGGTAACCCACTGAAATGAATGTGTATGAGTATAGGTCTATGTGTGAAGAAAGAAGGAACTGCCGTATTTTTCGCTCCATAAGACACACTTTTTTCCTCCTAAAAAGTAAGGGGAAATTTCTGTGCCTCTTATGGAGTGAATTCCTATGGATGGCGGGGGATCCCACTGCAGTCGCCAGCAGAGGATCCATGGTTCCCCTTCCTTCCCTCCTCCATGGCTCGCTTTGAAGCAGCAAAGCGGGAGAGGATCCGCTTACACGGCAGCAAAGCTTTTCAGTGAACTGAGCCGGGGAAGAGGGAGAGAATGAGAGCCCGATCACTTTAAAGCAGCAAAGCGGGAGAGGAGAGGAGCTGCTTACAGAGAGGAAAGGATCGTGTCCTTCCTGCTAATTCCTTCCTAGTCACACTGCGTGCAGGCTCCAGCCCACCCAGCTCAGCTTCCAGCAGCTAGGAGCGTAACCGACAGCTGCCTCCGACGCCTCCTCTCTGTGCTCTGGTGCTGCTGCATCCAGGGAAGCGTGCTAGGGATGCGCAGGGAGCCGGAAAACAAGCAGGTGGGGGAGAGAGACGGGGGGCTGGCTTGGGCAGGGGGGAGAACTTTTGCCTTCCTTTCCTCCCTCCCCTTAAACCCCTCTCCTGCATTGTTATCCGCCTCCTTCTCCACACACCCCACGCATGCTCCTTGTCCCTTCAGTGTTTTTCCTTCCCTCCCCGTGGTTACAAAGCATGGATCTGCATGGATCCTCAGGATTTTTGCATTGGGTCACCCCAGATTCACCATCAGATCACATAGCATGTCCATGCCTACAGCCTACACCAAAAAAATTACGTACCCACTGTTGCCACAGTGGCGCAAAAACGTGGTTACAAAGCACGGATCCACATGGATTCTCAGGATTTTTGCATTGGGCTACCCCAAACTCACTGTCAAATCACATGTCTGTGGCCACAGCATGAACCACGAAAACCATACATCCACTGTTTTGTTCAGAATATTTTTTTTCTTGTGTTCCTCCTCTAAAAACTTGGTGTGTCTTATGGCCAGGTGTGTCTTATGGCGTGAAACCCACACTTTCCCGAATTTTGCAAGGCAGTTCTCCAACTTATTATGTGTGTGAATGTTTGCACATATTAGGAGCTGCCACCCTTGCCTTTCTCCACTTGCCAGACTCTTCACTCACCCCCAACTCACCTCTTCCCTACAGTGCACCCCATGTTCCCACTCCCCTCATGGCTCCCTCCTATCCTTTCCTCATGCTCTCGCAGCTAAATTACACCCTAAAGCACACCGTCTTGTACATTTCTTGAGAAGTGGGGTTACCTTTTCTTTGGCAAATGAGCCCAAGAGTTGGAGAACAGGGCCTCTTGCTTTAGAAATCTCCCAAACTGAATTCTTCAAGCCTCCCTATTGACAACCACCCGCCCAACAAGTGAAACTGTGAGTTCTCACTTAACGGTCAGGTGGCTTATTTAAAAAATACCTGTGTCCTTGATAGGTGTCTTGGGAGCAATCCAGGTTTCCGAATTTGCATTGCAAAGGTCACCAAAACAGTAGATCTGGTTGAACAGGATGGCAAAGTGTCGGTCACCAGAGTTGATTGGTTTTGTTCCATCCACAAGGTCCTTGCTGGCACAGCCTTTGTGACTCATTATCAAAACTTCTTTATCTAAAATGAGGGGGGTGGAAAAAGATGTATATATACAAACAATAGAACGATGCAGTGGCAGGGTGTTCCAAAGACCTTACCTTGACAATTTTTTCTCTGGGTGTCATTTATACATGATCTGGTGGGGTTACGGTTGCCATATTTCAAAAACTTAAACAAAAACCTTTTGTGTCCGGGTTTTGTTTCTAGGTTTTTGGCCAAAGTTGTTGATGCCTGAAGATTTCAGCAATTTCGACCCAGACACTGTTTCCGATGGCCGAATCCTGGGAATGTCTGGAAAATTCCGGATGTACGGCAACTCTGTACAGGGGGAGGGGGCTGCTAAAGCCTTCTGCTTTCCCCCCCTCTGGTTCATGTCTACATTAGTGCCATGGGTGGGGGTGATTTTGTTCATGTGAGTGGCCCTAGAAAGTGCTGACAGTTGTTCCCACTTCCCACTTCTTCCTGTTTCTTCGTCACACATTTCCAGGCAGCTGGGTTCGAAATCAGCCCACAGTCGTGGGCAAAAATCTGTGGGCCACCTGACGCAAGAGGCAGAAGGAATTCGGGATGGAGCAATGGGTGCAACTTGTCCTGTAAGAGGCTGGCCTACATCCCGGCCATGCAAAATCCAGAGCTTTTCTACACTCTCACATTTGTCAACCCCCCCACTGAAGCACGCAAAAGGCACATCATATTTCTATCATGCAGACCAGCCTAGCAAAATAACTCAAGGAAGGTCTGCACCAGTCTCCCTTGTTCGCTTGTGCCACAAGGAGATAAAAGGTATTTGAAATAGGCATAGTTTTCTGTGATGTCAAAACCCGGAGAAACTTATGGAAGGTTTCTCTTGTAACACTGCATTGTGGACAGGAATTATGCTCCTCCAGATTTCATAGATTTGGATAGGACCACAAGTGTGATCTAGTCCAATGGCAGATGTTGGATTCCACTCACATCAGCCCCAGCCATCATGGCCAATGGTTAGGGATGGGAGGAGTTGAGATCCAACCAAATCTGGAGGGATGAGAGGTCCCCTGTCTCTGCACTAACCTATGGCTTAGTGGTACATCTGAACTGGGTCTGTGTCAACTCTCAGAAACAGCCAGGGATTTTTTTTATTAAAAAAGAAAGAAATGGAGTACAGGGATTTGTACAAAAATCTGCAAATAGAAAATAAAATGAATCAAAGCATATGTTAAGTACCTCAATTCTGAAAGCATGCAAAGCATCATTTCAGGCCCCTGAAATTTAGGGGTTGTAAGTAATTTCATGCTTTTCCTCTGTCAAAAATCTAGCAGCCACACAGGATCCACCTGGCGGAGCAGGACTTACCTATACGTAATGTAAGTTGTGCTTCTGTGCAAACGTTCTCAGCACTGGAGCAGTTGATAATGTCATCGAAACTGGTGGTCAACGGGGTACTAATGATGAAGTTGGATTGATAACACTTCAAGGCAGAAATTCCTGAAAAGAAATGTGGGGAGAAAGGGTATGAGATCCTGGAGAAGTTATTAGCAATGTCTTTCTGCCTGGAAGTCATCAGGGACTAGAATTAGGTTTCCCCCTTTTAAAGTGAAAGCAGAAGTTCTTAGGAGGCAAAAATTTGCACCAAGTACATGTTCTGAACCTCAGGAGCAAATGAGGGGCCTGAGTGAGTGCTTTGCTGTGTAGATACCAAAGAAGAATGTCAAAAATGTTGGAATGGCCAGTCATAGAGCTTTATTAAATCATAGAGTTGGATGGGACTACCAGGGGCATCTAGTCCAATGCCAGATGTTGGATTCCAACTCTCACCAGCACCAGTCTGATGTAAATTTACAAAACAGAACAATGATAACCAAATTATATGCATTACCCCACCCCCACCCCAAAGTGTGGGATGTGAAACTTTTAGCAGTCAAGTCCAACATTCCTACAGTGGACATGTTAGGGGATGTTTTGTACCACTCAGGAGAAAACTTCCTGTTTCCTCCTGAACTGGGACGGATTTCCACTGCATGTGACTTGAAGAGGGTGTGGTCTATTCTGGGCAGAGGAGCAGACTTTCCTCCATGTAGTTCTGTTCTTCTTCTCCTCCTCCTCCATTTGTTGTTCTTGTATGTTAGGAGAAGTGACTGTTCAGTTGCAGTCACTTGGAACTAATTCCCTTATGGGACATTGACATTGTCTTGTTGTTTTAGTGTTCATAGTATTAACTTGTAAGATATGGATTTGTTGTTTTGTCTGTTTTTTTAGTTGTTGTTGCTTTCTTTAGTTTTTGAATGTTTTGTGTGTGTTGTGTATTGTTATTTTTTGATATTTTTTGTGTTGTTGTTGTGTGGAAAATACCAATAAAATTTATTTATTTTTTAAAAAATTCCCTTATGGGACAGTTTATATAGTTATATACTCGTGTACCCTAAGTCTGCCTTCAGGGATCTATCTGTGAACCTGAATGAATCACGATAAAAAAAAATCCTTCCAGTTTTAAAAAACAGTATATAAAAAAAAATCCTTCCAGTAGCACCTTAGGTATCTGAAGAAGTGTGCATGCACACGAAAGCTCATACCAATAACAAACTTAGTTGGTCTCTAAGGTGCTACTGGAAGGAATTTGTTTGTTTGTTTGTTTGTTTTGGCTATGGCAGACCAACACAGCTACTTTCCTGTAACTGAATGAATCTGTGAGTAAACTACTTTTATATTAAGTTCAATCAGATTCTAGTGTCTATTCTTTTTAAGAGGGATTAGAAGGGATCTTACCAGGAATCTTAAGGAGTGAGGCTCAGACGAGCCAGCTACAAGCTAATCGCTGTGTTATTTATAAAGGGAGATGTTTGGAACTCTGCTAGGATATGGAACTTGCTAGCACAAGTTAAGAAGGATATCATTGAATAATATATCATCTCCTGCCTCCCTAAACATCCCCACAAAAAGGTATTGTAGTTAACCAGAACTTATCCTAATAAGGCATTTTAAAAAATGAAGAAAAAAACCACGTTTTCTACATGGGTATTCTTTCTTTTATTCTCTTCTTCAGTTTTGTGCAATTGAAATTGTGCACTTTTTATCTTTTAACAAAGAATACAGAGAATAAAAAAACATGCTATAGCACAGTGTAGGTTTGAAGGTAAAGTTTGAACCTAAATAAAAAAGGTAGAGGCAGACAGCTCCATGGGAGCACACTTCACAGTCCCTGGTCTGGCTTCTTTCTCCTTGGGTAAGTTTCCCCACAATTTTAAAAACACTACATTAGGCTGCTTAGCCATTGCCTCTCTACTGAGTGCCAGCATGAAGCAAGTCAAACCACATTCACTTTCTGGGAAAGCTTCTGGGTGACATGACTCTACCTTCTCCTTCCCTGACACAGCCCAAACCTTCTCCTTCTTGCAGACGGGGCTAAACTCACCTCAAAGACACACTCCTCTCCACCAGCAGTACCCAAAAGGTGACTTAAGCAAGTCATAGCACATTCACTTTCCGGGAAACCTCCTGAGTAGGATTGCAATATGTCCTCTTTTACAGGAAATGTCTTCTTTTTCAGGTCCAGTTGCCACATGTCCTCTTTTTTTTTCCTGGGCACATCCTCTTTTTGTGGACTGAAATTTCTGCCTGGGAGGATTTTTAAAATTTGACTAAATGTCCTGGTTTTCATTTGCTTGTTTGTTTGTTTACAAGAATCTAAGAAAAAAAATCCTAGTGCATTACACAGATCTAAGGCACCCAGCTAAACTAGTCTGCAGCAGAGAATTGTTGGGATACTGCCAGGGAGATAAAGTCCATCAAGGCCCCCAAGCCGTCTGCCGGACGATCCATCTCAGTCTCCCGTAGGCACGCAGCGACATGAGTTTCTAGAAAATATCTTGCCACATTCTAGAGCTCATGCACGCTCTATCAGCAGATAAAGCACAGCCAAAAGTTGCACTCAGGAGAGCATTATTTACAAGTTTATTCAGCGTTGATCAGAACACAGAAAAACATGTCTGACTGCTTTAGTGTCTGCGACACACAGAGAGAAAACGAAAGCAACAGAAAACATAAACATCCTGTGAACAGGAAATACGCAGACTCTGTGACTCACAGCCTGCTCCCTTTTAAGGTGGAATGGAAATATCCTAACATCCTCCCCCTTTCCGTGTAACCTGTAGTACCTGTGGTTCAACCCAATTGCAACCTTTGTACGTAAACCTTAAGTTGTTCTCTGTTAACAACCGTAGACAACAGATCAGCAGGAATTTCATTTCCTGCCATGTAGGACACCTGAATGAGTCCTTTCTGAATACACTCTCTTGCACGATGTAGCTTAATCTGCAAGTACTTGGTCCTTTGCTTGCAACTCTCCGAGTTCAGCAAAGCCAAACACGATCTATTGTCTTGATACACTTGTACAGGACATTTCACAGAAACTCTGATGTCCTTAAACAGTTGCATCAGCCATTCACAATCCATGAGTGAAAATGACAGAGCATTGAGTTCTGCTTCACAGGAACTTAGGCTCACTGTCATCTGCTTTTTGCACAACCAGTCAAACAGGCAGTGGTTGTACATGTAGCATACTCCAGAAGTGCTTGTACCATCCGTGGTGTCACTTCCAAAACTTGCATCTGCAAAGATTTCAAGACCTCCAGTCTTCTGACTGGTGAACCTCAGCCTGTAGTGCAAAGTGCCTTTCAAATAGCGGGCTATGCGCTTCAGAGCTTTCCAATCCTGAACAGTAGGATTGTTAGCATGTCTGCTAAGCAGGTTACAGCTTACAGCTATGTCAGGTCTTGAGCATCTAGCAATGAAATTCAACTTGCCTAGAATGCATCTGTACAGCGTTGTGTCAGAAAACGCTTCAGCAGTACTATCTACCTGGTAACCTGTCACCATCGGTGTGTCTGCTGGGTTTGCATCAACCAAATTCAACCTGGTTAAAACATCAGCAATTTTCTGTATTTGGTGTACCAGAAAATTACCTGCTTGGTCCCTCTTCACCTGCAGAGAGAGATAGTTGGATACCTCACCAAGATCCTTCATGTCAAAGTGCTCCTTCAGCTGAGCTAGGGTGCTTTGGTAGAAAGCCTGATTCTTCCAAAACATCAGAAGATCATCAACAAAACATAAACAATACAGTTTGTTTTGCCCCTCCTTCTTGACAAACACACATGGATCAGCTTTGCCCTGGTGAAAACCTAGAGAAAGCAATGTCTCGGTGAGCTTTGTGTTCCAACACCTGGCACTCTGCTTGAGACCATATAAGGATTTCCGCAGTTTACAGACCATTCCCTTCTGTATCTGCATCCCGTCAGGTGGAAGCATATACAGCTCCTCCCCCAAAATCCCGTACAAAAAAGCTGTATTAAAGTCATGATGGGAAACATGCAGTTTCTCCTCTGCAGCGATCTTGAGCATCAGCCGAATGCTCTCATATTTGACGGTGGGAGAGTAGGTCTCGTGGTAATCCTGTCCTGGTACCTGTGAAAAACCTCTGGCAACCAATCTGGCTTTGTGTCTGACAACCTTGCCATTCTGGTCTGTCTTGGCCTTGAAGACCCATTTGCTGCCAACCAGTCTCATCCCTGGGACTACCGGTACCAGTTTACAAGTTTGGTTCCTGTTCAAGGAATCAACTTCAGCCTTCATGGCATTAAGCCAAGGCTCAGCATCTTTAGAGGTTAACTCCTGAACCTCTTTGAAGCTTGAAGGTTCCCACACCTTCTCTGAGCTACTAAGAACAGCAGTTGCTGTCTTAGCAAACTCATCAGCAAATCTCTTTGGAGGTCTGCCCTTTGTGGCTCTTTCAGATCTGCGTACTAGACGCAAGTCTTCTGGACTCATCTCCTCCTTCTTAGGAGAAAAGTGACCAATGGTGAACAGTGGTTCTTCCAGTTCATTGTCAGACGCATCAGATGGTCTGACTGAGGCCTTTGCACTCTTGTAGTCTGCTGTGACATCACTGTCACCGACATCAGCAGCAGCGCCGCCCACTGAGCTGGAATCCGAACTCTGATCATCATCGTCATCATCATCCTCAGCAGCTTCCTCAGCTTTAGCTGCTTCTTTCACATCACCTTCATCCTCCTCTGGGTAACTCTGGAAAATTCCCACATTTTCCCCCCACTTAGGATTGTACTCAACACTCTTTGTGAACTTAATGGACTTAGAGTTGGTCATCCATACCCTGTATGCACCTTTTTCGTACCCCATGAACAAACCATGTGCCCCACGCTTCCTAAGCTTGTTGCTCTGTGGGGTGTGTACCCACATGTCAGAACCAAAGATTCTCATGTGCTTGATGTTGGGTTTCTTACCAAACATCTTCTCATAGGGGGGTACAACCAATAGGTGATGACAACCTGCGATTAAAAGTGTAAACAAACGAGTTCAAAGACTCCCCCCAAAACTTCTCAGGGAGATTGGCATCATGCAACAATGTTTTCATTCCTTGCAGCAACGTTTGATTTGCTCGCTCCGCAAGCCCATTCATCCATGGCGATCTAGGCGTTGACAAGTCATGCTGGATTCCCTTCTCAGTCAGGAAAGCTTCAAACTGCTGAGAAGTGAACTCCCGCCTCGATC